CGAATTAAATAGCGTAATAATAAAATGTTTGGTGATAATTGGCTTAATTTATATAAATATAAAACATTGATTCTCATTTCCTAATTTCCTAATTTGTTGCTTTTGAAAGGGATTTCTTCTGATTCGAGCAGCTACTGCTCAGTGCATTTACTGTTTTCACAGTGCAGGGACCTTAAGTCCTTTTAAATGTAATTACATGAACAATAATACTTGAAGAGATAATTATTTAATATATTTTTTCCAGAAAACATGGTTATTTTACCATTTTGGGGAGGCTTCAGCCCGAAAGCCCCCTCTCCCCGTAGATCCACCTGTGGGAAGTTAGTTTCTTTCATTCTTGCAAAGTAATATATACATACAAAAAAAAATCTTTCGGGCTGAAGCCGCCCAAAATTAAATCCTGGATCCGTTAGTGGAAGTTGATACCTAATTATTTAAATATATCAGATCTAGAATTATTAAACTATAGTAAATGTATTTAAGATTATAAACATATACTTTAAACATCCATGAAATGATTTTAAATTTTACTTCTTCTTTCACACAAGTACAATGAAATATTTTTTTTTAACATTGCCATTGCCTTGATTAGGTGGATTTAAATACTTTTTCAAACTTAAAAATATTTTAAAAGTTTAGTTAGTAAATTTCATTGTTGATATAAGTGTCACTTCTGGTTAGCCAATTTCAATGAAAAAGTTGCTGTGACATCTAAGGCATATACCTATCGTAAATAGGTAATACCAGTTTCGTAAGACTTTTCGTGTTTGAGCTAGAGTGTTCACATATACACAGACTCACAGACCATTTTTCGGGACTTGGTTATTTAGACTCAGGGTACCTCAAAACGTGTATTTCCGTTGAAAACTCAGATTCAAAAATTTTCACAATTGCAATACTTTCCCTTACTATGTATTACATATATAGGTAAGTGAGAGTAAAAATGTGTTTTTGTAATGTTTATTTTGTTCCTATAGGTACATTAAAACGTTTATTGTTTTCCTCCCCCCAAAAAATTTCAAAAAAGTAAAAAGGATCATGCGTTTACCCAAACATATGGCCATTTATGTTTAAACAAAATTCCTTTATGTTTTTGTTTGTGTAATTGTAATTTTAATTGGGTGATACTTTGTTTTACTTCTATTTTTGAGGGGATGGGGAGTTTAACACCCATTCGAATTTTTTTTAAAAAGGTAAATGGCAATATGTTTGGGTAAGTGGTTGATGCTTTGTTTTACTCTTTTTTTTTTTTGAAGGGGGAGAGTTAAACCCCTTCCCCTGGATTTTTAAAAAAAAATATAAAATGACAATATATTTGGGTGGATGATACTTTGCTTTACTTTTTTTTTTTTTTGGGTGGTTAACTTTCTCGACCTTACACTAGAGGTTTACAATACTTAGCACAGGTGGAATACCCCTATTATTGCAGTTTTGCCGATGGCAGGCTTCTCCACTGAAGCCCTAGATAACTGTAGTGCCCTCTCTCAGTCGCCACTGGCTTCCAATACCAGCAATGTGTCTGAGAGAGAATTTAATTCAGTTTTAGATTATTTTTATTGTTCATTTTATTACTTATTAATATTCTAATATATATGGAATGCGTGTGTCACATATACACCTAGCTCTAACAATTATTGCTCCTGAGTGTGGCAATTTCTTAATAAAAACAGTTTAAAAGAAAAAAATAACTGAAAATTCAGAATAAGATGTAAGTAGTTCAGTAAAGTTGGAAAATATGTAATATAGTTTGCAGATACAGGATCTGATTAAAATTATTGAGTATACAGGATGTCTCAGTTCTTAAATTTGCAACATAAAAGTTCATTAGATGCTTGGGCCGATATCAAACGGAAAAGGAATTATGTCCATTTTTTTCTGTTCTTAACGTGGTCGTTTTCCCTTTCATAGAAAGCAAAAACACAAAAGTTATTCAATTCATGTAATTAAAAATTGTTTTATAGCAAACTAGACAAAATTTCTTTCAAATATAAATAAAGTTTGTATTTGTCAGAACCGCTTAAAGGCGACTTTTGAACGGCCAAATTGAGAAATCATTACAAAATTTTAATTCCTCTTTTTCCTTGTAAACCTGATATCTATCTTAGTAAATTAATTACGAAAATACTTTTTTTATTCATTAAAAAGGTGGGCTAATGAAATGTTGCTTTTTCCTAAAATTTACTATTTAAGGTGATAAGGAAGTTTGTATAAAAGTGAGGATCTGTAGTCCGGTTGTAGGATAGTAAAAAAACTGCTGATAATCCATGATTTAATGATATACTAAACCTAGTGAGGTATAGCCGCTCAAAGGCCACTTTAAATGGTTTTGACAAAGATAAACTCTACTTGTTTTTGAAGAAAATTTTGTTTAGTTTACTATAATGCAATTTTTAATTACCTAAATTTTTCAGTTTTCATGAAAGGAAAAATGTGGCCACCTTAAGATAAGATGAAATTGGACTTCACTCCTTTTCCAATCAAAATAGGCCTATACATCAAATGAGATTTTTTGTTGGAAAATTTGTCTAGAATCACCTCCCAGAGTTTGGAACATTAAGAACTGAGACACCGATTAATAGCTATGAATGGTCATAGTCACTCATTCTTGGTCCAAGAATAAAAATCAAGTTGGTACTTCGGTAAATACCTTTTAGCTTCACTTTTTTTATTTTATCATATTCTTTTGTCAATCACAAGCTAAAAGGCGAAGTTTTTTTTGCCTGAAACTGTCTTTATGTATGACAATATAAATATAATGTAGATTTGCAGTCTTTGGTGGAACATAAGAATCATAATTATCTTCACTACAAGAAAATAATGAGTTTTATATACATTAAAAATTAAATTTAAAATAACTTAATGACATAGATCAATTGAAATATTCAAAAAATAATCTATCAGTTCAGTACCAAAAGTATAACATAAATTTGACGAAACAGAATAAAAAATACCTATCTTAGTAGTTTTAATTTTTTTTTTTAATTTATGGCAGGTAAAAGCAATGGTATCATCTGAAATAAGTATATTTCATTTTCAATAATTTCAAAAACCGTACACTAGACATACTTAAGGAAAGGCACAATCTACCAGAAACTTAAAGGAACATTTCTAATCAGTTAATTTAATTATGATGGTTATTAAGTCACAAAGAATTAAAATTAATTATGAAAAGGAGTTAGTCGAGGGTGCGGTCAAATAAATAAACAAATTAAAATATATAAATTATTTTAATTTTTGCCTAGGCAAAAATTTAAATAGTTTATATATTTTAATTTGTTTATTTATTTGACCGCACCCTCGACTAACTCCTTCTCATATTATATTAACGGTCAACCATCTCTACATCATTAAAATTAATTATGTTTCATTTTGTCAAGAATTGTATGAAATTGAAAATTTTCAATTCTATCATTTAAGTTACATAAATTCTAATATATCTCAGAAACTGAAAATCACAATTTTTAAACCTTGATAAAGTAATATAAAATTATTATGAAAATATTTTTTTTGGATAAACAGAAATCTTTTATTGAATTAGCGGTTCACTATGAATAGTATTAATAAAGAAGGGCTACTCCTGATAATTTAAGTTATGTTATTTCCCATTTCAAAAGATTTTTTTTTTATTTTCCTCCAATATAAATAACAGTTTATTTGATAAAAATGATTACGAGTTCGCGTCCCCATTCCTGGGAGAGCTTTTAAATCTGACATTAATCCCTCCCCCCGGAAAAACCCTGTATAGCCTAAAAGGCAAAGAAGGGGAGGAGCAAAAAAAAACTTACTCAAAAGAAATGATAGATAATCCATGGAACCTATATCAATTCTACTAACCTTACGTATATCGTAATACGTAATGTATTACGATTTTCTTTGTCTTAACCCTAATTTTTATCATCTTGGAAGAAATCTCTTGCTGCCCTTTTCAGTGATTCCATATGTCTCCTTTATACTTGGAGGAATTGGATTTTCCAAATTCAACTTTCTAATTACTTAAAATATAAAACCTGTTCAATAATTCCCAATATTATGGTAATCAGAAATTGATACATTTAACAAAAATATAGCACATTTTGTTTAAAAATTAGTGTTAAATTAATTTTATTTAGTCATCATTTTCAACTTTAACTTTATATCTTCATTTGTAATTATGTATTGGTATGATAACATTTTATTATATATCACCTTATTTTGTTTTTTCTTTTATCATACTTTCCTTTTTTTTATTAAGCATTAATTTCAATAAATTTTAAAGTAAATATACATAGTTATAGTAAATATTGTTATTATTAGTAAATGTTCTAGCTATTTAGTAAATAATTAAAATAATAAGCATTTATATATTTGTCATTATATTATATATGTCAATTATAAAATGTAATAGTTAGAATATATTTCAATAAAACAAAATTATATATGTATATATAACATATTTATTTATTTTATAAATCATGCTTTATGGAACCTTTTCATTAATTGAAAATATTTTATTTCAACTTTGTTTTCTATATTTTGATATTTGAAGTAAAAAAATTAATTATTTTTAAATTAAATGTTCTTTAAATTAATTTATCAGATTTAAGGCTAAAAGTTTATTTTTAAAATGAAAACAAAATTTTTTACTCTGCATCTAAATGATATTATAATTTTTAAGTAAAGTTAAAAGCAACTTTAAAGAAAAAATACAAAAAAAAGTAACAGCTTGATCAGGTCTTTAACCTTGCAAGCAATATAATTACTTTATCTCAAAAGAAACAGAAGCTGATCCTGTTTCTTAGCTACTGCCACTAAGTCTCAGAGACAAATCCATCCTTTAAATTACCTATTTTGTTTAGTCAAAATAATTTCAATATCTAATTAAATTTATAAGTGATTATCAAAAGATAATAGCTATACGTCAACTATTGAAAAGATAACAGGTTTAAAAGGATTCATTGCATAAACATTATATAAACTTCTCTACAATATAAGTTGGCTGTTTTGAGCAATTTAGTTTTAGAATGGATACTATCAATTTTGGAGCTGGGCCTGCTAAATTACCTCGAGAGGTATGATTAATTCCATTTTATGATTTTGATTTAATAAAATTAATTAAACATAATAGTTGCTTATTTTTTAAAAAAGTTTATTGCTCAACAATTCATTAAATATGTAATTAAATATTGTATTAGTTAGTTAGTAGTTTCATTATTTAATTTTTAATAAGTAAAGAGGTTTCATTCATTGCTATAAAAACTAACAATTCCTTTTAGTTGAAAGGGCTATTAATTTATTTTGTTTGTCTTTGTAGAAAAAGGTGTAAGTCAATTAATTTTTTTCAGGTAATGTGCAAGGTTCAAAGAGATTTTCTGAACTATGAAAACAGTGGTATAAGTGTCGTTGAAATGAGCCATCGGTCAGCGGAATATGAAAAAATAAATAATGATGCGCAAAAAGAATTACGATCTTTACTGTAAGTTTAGTTATACTTTCTATACCATTAATGTTAGTGAAATAGATATGTTTCTATTTAAAGTAATTCAAATGACTAATAACCAAGTAATTATTGTTAACTAGGGAATTTTAATTAATTTATATATGACAAACTTTGCTATCAGAAAATTATAGAATGAAGATTCTTTCACTGACTGTAAAGAGTACATTAACCATTATTTTGATAAATTTAGGGACAAGTTAATAACTTTTGGGGAACTTCACATACTAATTTTATAAAAATGTATTAATATTATTAAATGCTACTTTTAAATTCTAGAAATGTTCCTGAGAATTATAAAATTATTTTTCTGCAAGGAGGTGGTACTGGTATTTTTGCTGCTGTGGCTATGAATCTCATGGGAAGAACAGGATCAGCTGATTATTTTGTAACAGGTTGTTATACTCTAATCATTATTTTTTAAAAATTAATATACTATAAAAGGCAAGTTTTAGGAATTTCCAATAAATCTTAAAATTCAACTTCTCAAAATATTTGTTATTAGTTTAGAAATTGTATAATAGTAGCAAAAAATATTATTTATTTTTTTTTAGCAATAATAGAACTTTTAAAATTGCTTGTGTTTAATTTTGGAAATTATTGACCTATTACAAAAATTCATAGTGTCTTATACATATAAACACAATATGTCAATTATTTAAAATATATTAGTTGACCTGTGGCTTATTTGAACTTTACCCTACTTCAATAACAATAATTTATTTGATGCCCATAAGATTATGCAACAGTTTATATAATTATGTATACCTCCAATCCTAACCTTACTTTAACCCTCACCAACCTACAGCAAAATATTTTTTTATAATACTTCTGTAGTATAAATATATGTTTTTTTAATTTAACATATTTCAATATTTTTTCAGTGATAATAAATAATAATATAATAACAAAAAAAAAACTGCTCATCACTTTCTATATATATATATATATATATATATATATATATATATATATATATATATATATATATATATATATATACATACATACATATAAATTCTTGAATAACAAAGATAAAGATGCACAACTAAAAATTAGAAAACATATCTCAGTGCTTTCTGAAAAGCTTATTTTGTCATTCATCTAGTCTTTTAAGATGAATGACAAAATAAGCTAAAGAGATTATAATTTTTGATACTGAAATTAAGGGATATTATCTATTTTTAGGATCCTGGTCTTCTAAAGCTGCTAAGGAAGCTTCGAAGTATGGAAAAGTAAACCTTGTATTGCCCAAGACTGATGTTTATACCGAAGTGCCAGACAAATCAACATGGAAATTAGACCCTCAAGCCTCTTATGTTTATTACTGTGCAAATGAAACCATCCATGGTATTAATTTTATCTAAAATATGGAATTTAAATTTTATAAAGCACTAATATTATGTGGAACACTCCCACATTAAATAATCATAACGAAAGGAGGCAATTATATTTTATTTTGTAATTAGCTTCTCTCAATAAGTTAAATGCAAAGTACTAATCTTCCCTTGATAATGCTTCTTTTTTTTTTAAATAAGCTATTTTTATTAGTTGCTATTTTATTTTAAAATTGTTTGAACACTGCAGCTGCTTCACTTAGCTCTCTCTGGATACCTCCATATTTCTACATAATAAAATGGTCTAAAAGAGTTTATTTAATCAAGTCTTTTTATGTTAAAGGGATTTTCAATCAGAAATGAACTCTATCCTAAAATTTATATTACAATATATATATATATATATATAAATTGTTATTACAAATTTTATAATTAACTTTTAAATATTAAAATTAGTAATTATTATATTTATCTGGTATTTTATATATATATATATATATATACAGTGTTAGCTATTATAAAATAATTGAGTGACCTAATTCCCAACCAAATAATTATGTTAAAATATAATATTCAAAGGTCAGTAGAAGAAATTTTGTAAATATATATATATATATATATATATATATATATATATATATAAATATATAAATATATATTTACAAAATTTCTTCTACTGACCTTTGAATATTATATTTTAACATAATTATTTGGTTGGGAATTAGGTCACTCAATTATTTTATAATAGCTAACACTGTTTCTTCTTTTTTCCTTTCAATGCTATATTTATGTGCATAAACCCTCCTGGATAGGTACTGTGAAGTTTGCAGCTCAGTATTATGGCACTAAGCTTCTAATGCTCAAGGTACCCAGCTCATGGCAGAAAAATTATATATTCTCTTTCATTGGCCGTGGGGCAACCATGGGCAATTTCGGCCCAATCACCTCCCTATATAACCTTTGACCTTGTAGCACTACTTCGTCACAAAGTGCTGAATCCAAAACTCTTGATGGGTTCATGGGTTGTAGGGGTTAAGGTTTTTTTTTTTTTATAGAATTAGGAAAATAAACCAGCACTGATTAAAAAAATAAAAATGAAAAAGATTCCTTTTTCCCAGAAAATTCCAGACATCTTGACTGTTTAAGGGTAATTCTAAGACTACAAACCATTATTGTGTCCAAATAGAACAAACACTTTGTGAAGACTTCATTTTGTAGTTTTGGTCATAAATGTGTACTAAATACTTTACTATTTTTGTATTTGGTTTGATCACCAATATTTATTACTATATAAATCATTTAAAAGTTTGATCCCTGAAAATCATATAAAAAAAGACTTTTTTTTTTTATGGCATGTAATCTTGGAATTACCCTTAAATCTTAATAATGTAATTGGTATTTAGTCAGATTATTATTATACTGAAATAATTGTTATAAATAATTATTAATTTTCAAAATAATTCTTTTTTAAGGAGTGGAATTTCCATTTATACCAGATGTTGATGTACCCTTAGTTGCTGATATGTCCTCTAACTTTTTGTCCAGACCTGTTGATGTGTCAAAGGTAGGTAAAGCATGATAAATGAAATTGTATGATTAATCCTACTTTAATATAACTTTATTTTAATACTAAATTGGAGAAATAAACAGAAAGGATGGTTGTTAACAGAGAGTGTAGCTTAATATGAGCACCTTCGACACACTTATAAGTCAGAGTAAGCTCTTGTACTCTGAGCAACACCAGAGAAACCATTGAAGAACTGACAATGAAGCAATTATCTTGAACTTTTACAAACCACTGACTTATTCATACCAAACCTAACACTTGATTTCTCAATTATGATACTTAATGGTAATTTATCACTTACATTTCTTGAGAAAATACAATCAGATGAGTCTTTTTGAGTCTATTTTATTAAGACTGAAACCTAAAACATACTGACACAGTCTAGCACAACAACCTGTTAGTTTTTGTATATTAATCCTATTATCCACAATTTATCTAGAGGTTGCCATAATGTTTCCAACCAAAAAGAATGAATTGAAATTTTGTAACACTATTTGTTGACTAAATTAGGAATCAAATCCAAATAATATTACAAACCTGAAACTTTTGCCCCGGCATAGAGATGTGGGAGTAGAGATGGACTAAATTGTTCTGGGATCAAATCAGTATAATAAATTAAGGAAGCCTACCATGTTCCATTCTTTGTGCATATCTATACCTCTTTATAGTGGAAACAATATTGAGAATTTCTTATAAGTGCCTTAGTTCTTTATTTTTCGACATCCAGAAAAGATCCCCTTCTTTAGTAGGAACATAGATATTTTCTTCCCACATGTTTAACAGTCTTTCATCATAAATTGTACAAATTCTATTTACACTACTATTTCCTATCTACAGAACAATTGATAAATTCTTACTTTAAGGGTTTTAGATATTCAATTTTGAAATATTTTTATTAGAGACCAACATCACCTATTACCAATTGTTACCCTTGCCTTAATTTTTTACCCAATATATTATCCCGAGTACTGTTTTATGTAAGTAAAATGGCTCCAAAAATAAGTTTCATGCCATATTAATAATTATTTACCAACTTCTGTCAAATAATCTTTAACTAGATGGCTACTTAACCACTTCTCACAATTCTTAATAGTTTCAAATAATTGTTTTAAATTATAGTTTAATTTTTTGTAGTTTGGAGTAATTTATGCTGCTGCACAAAAAAATATTGGACCAGCTGGAGTAACGTTAGTAATAATTCGTGAAGATTTATTAGGTAATCCTTTACCAATTTGTCCATTAATTCTGGATTTCACAGTCATGGCAAAGGACAACTCACTGCATAATACTCCACCAACATTTGGGTAATATTATTGATTATTTTAAATAATTAATAACAATGCACATATATAGTTATATTTTCTTATGCACTTAATACTATAAGAAAAAGGAATATGCATGGTTAGTATTATTTAATATCAGGAAAACTGTCTTACTTTTTGTGTTTGAATTTTTCTATTTTTAGAGTATATGTCATGGGTCAGGTTTTCAAATGGGTGACCGAACAAGGCGGTGTAGAAGAAATGGAAAGATTAGCCAAATTAAAGAGCGAATTAATATATTCAACAATTGAAAATTCAGGAGGATTTTATTTCACCTCTGTGAAAGCTGGCTACCGATCAAGAATGAATGTTCCATTTAGAATAAAAAATAGTGAATTAGAACCAGAATTTCTAAAAGAAGCAAAAAATCTGAAAATGATACAGTTAAAAGGACATAGGTAAAGTTCTAACTTTGATTTATTATATCTTGCAATTATTAACAAAAACAAGGGGTCTCCAAAATTGTTGGCCCGTGGGCCGCATTGAAACCTCCATTAAGTCTTGCAGTCCAGATTGAAGGCTCAACTAGTCTCACGGGCCATGGCTTACGATGAAAAAAAAGTTTGTTCTACAAATAACACTTCGGTTGTGAAATCTGCTTTCCAAGAGAAATAATTCATACAATGAATGTTGTAGTTACTTCATATTCGAGTGATTTAATAAATATCATATTTTTCAAATTTTACTATGTAATCAAAGAAACTTTTACATTCTTTAGTTTGGAGACTCCTGATATAAACTATTAATATTGCATACACCTAAATAATTATGAGCATGTATACACTTTCTACCAGTGATAGTATAACAATCTAGGCTGAGAAGTTGTTTTTTTTTTTTTTTTTTTTTTTTTTGTTCCCCTCTATCTCGCCTTTTAGACTATATGGGGTTTTCCAGGCCAGGGGGTAAATGTGGAGGATTAATGCCAGAGTTAAAAAAAACCCACCAGCATCAGGATGCAAATTCGTACTTATTTTATTATCTATAATTTAGTTTTCTTAATGATCTTTTCAACAACTTAAATTATATTTTTTAATAAACTTATTTGTTTTGTTTTTTAAACAACAGCATGATAGATAGCACTTCTACTTATATTAGATTAAATCGATAATAACTATTGTTCATTAATTCTCCAGTTCTCGTATTTCTGATAATGCTTGACCCTTCATTGCTGCACCACAGCCTATTAAATAAAGGATTTTTACACATTTTGGGCTCATGGTAACCATGTTTAGATCAAGGGACTCCAAATTTTTTGGTCTGCTGGTCATATTGAGACCTCCATCTAAGTCCTGTGGACCACAGCTTGTGATGAAAACAATATATTGTTCTATAAATGACACTTCAGTTGTGAAATGAGCTTTCTAAGAGAAGAAACCTATACAATAAATGTAGTAATCTCAAAGAAAATTCCGCAGGCCGTAGTTTGGAGACCCCTGTTTTAGATAGAAGCCCCCAGGATGTTTCCTCTAATATTGGTGATAAATCACCTATTGTGTCCATTGGATTAGCCAATATGTAAGGAATGCCTACTCTTTGGCATAAGTTTATAACAAAGTTTATTCAATAAAAATTTCGAGTTGTGCCTCCTTCATCCTCAATGTATGATAGATCTGTTTTTCAGATTCACTTAATTTCATAATTTTAATAGCTAAAAATTATATATTTTTAACTTATATTTTGGATAGTTGACAACATTTATGGATTTAAAAAATAGCTATTTCATACAGTAACCAACTTATTATTCCATTAAACTTTTTACTACATATTTTTTTCATCTTAAGAGCACTAAAAACATATAAAAATATTTATTTTAATGCTATGATAATTTTTAAAATTAATATTAATGTCAGACTAAACATCTTTGTATTTTTAACAGGCTTGTTGGGGGAATCAGGGCATCATTATACAACGCCATAACAATGGAAGAAACTCAAGCATTCAAAAAGTTTATGGAAGATTTCATGAAAGCCCATAAGTGATTTTCGTCCTTTTCAAAAATTACTTTTTCATTGCTAATATTTTGTCCAATTCATTTTCGAGTGGTTCATTTGTTCCTCTCAAGCCCTCTACTACTTTTGAAGCCCAAGCGTAATACTCATTTACTCTCTGCTCCGACCATCCCAATGGAGTGGCTCGTTGAAGATCCCTCAAGTTGTATAACTTATCAGCAAGCTTTACAAGTTTGGCTTCATACGATGAAACAGAGGCATGTTCTATCTAAAAAATATTTTTATTTTTTATAACAATAAAAGACAATTCTTTCTAAATATACATGTATTAATTATTTCAATTAACCATGAAACACATTAATTAACTAATCAGTCAAATAGCACAAAGGGTAAAAACGAAGGATTGAAATTCTTGATGAATTTATCCAAACCATTCTTATAACAAGTGTTGTTATATTTTGTTATATTTGTTACAAGTCAGAAACAAGTTTTGTCTTAAAATATGAGAAAACAAGACTAATGTGAAACAGTTGTTTCTCTCTCAGTTGTTCTTTATCACTTTTGTTTTCTTTTTTGCTTTTTCAATTTACAGAAAGTAATCTTTTGCTATGCATTTTATGCCAATCATTTTTCATAACATCAAGCTGTTATAAACAAATAAGTGAATCATTTGATTGTTATTAAAAAGTAAAATTTGAATAAATCTCAGAATTTAAAATAACTCTAAATGTAGTTATTACTATGTAATCATAAATAAGAGACACCAAAATGAGAATCATCTACAGAAATTTCAACCAATACCACAATATGGTAACAAACCTTTTCAAAACATATTTAGTCTGAAGCAGCTTAATTTCATGAATTATTCACTAAATAACTTTAATAAATCTCTACACCTAAAATATATTTTGTTATGGCAGTTTAGTACTGTTATAAAATGATTATTTTCAGTATTACTGTGTTTACCGAATCTAAAGGGATAAAAGATTATTCATCACAAGAATATAAAGCAATCTGTGTACATTTTATGGTATTATAAAATGTTATTATTTAGTTAATTAGCATAACAGGTGTATATTAGATGATCCTAAATAGAGCTCCATTACAAATCGGATATAGCAAAAATCTCTGGAAACATGAGAAAATAATAAGGAAACTTCCTTTATTATACCTCAACATTTATCTTCATTTAAAATGTTTCATATAGTTTCATATTAAAGAAAAAAGACACCCTTCATAAAAAAACTCATCATCTAGTATAAATAAAACCTGTACTTTGAACTTGAAATAAAATAGTTGACATAAACAATATAGCAAACATCAAATATAAAGCCTCTAGAAACTGTTAGAAAGATGAACAGCTTTACTATTCGAAAGAACGTAATGGAGCATTTCTCATGAGCCTACAAAAATCTTAGAAGACATTTTGAAGTATAGATTTAAGATAGGAAGCTTCATTACCGATTAGAGTTTTTGGAGACTTGAGTAAATAAAAGATTATTCTAGTAGTCAAAACTGAAGAGTGAATATGGTGAAAAGTGACAATCTCGAAAGGAGTCAGTTACTAATGAAATTCTTCTCTACTTGTCTCTTACAAAAGTGGAGTAGTATCAATTCTTAACAGATGTTAGGACTCTCCCACACTAAGCGTCATGCCTGAGGGAACCCTCACTTCCGATACACTAGATGAAGATGGATAACCATATCATGAGCTGCACCCGCTTTCAGGCACAAAGGGTGTACCCACTTGAACATCTATCCAAGAATGGTAAGTCTTCCCATTTCACAGTCACTTACAGCATCAGACTTATATTTGGAGGCAATATAAGTGAGAATTTTGACAAATATGACCTACTAGCACTAGTGGCCCAAAAAATGTCAAAACCAGAAATTACATTAAAAAAACTAATAAAAAATTATAAATCTTACTTGCATCATTTTGCGTGTTTCCTTAGGTAGAGACTTATCATCAGTTACTTCACACACTATTCCTCTTATTTTAGCTCCAAATTGTTTTTCTATTTCATCGAAAGTAGTATCTGTATCTTCAACAGTGTCATGTAATAGTGCAGACATTATAACATCAGGATCAGTAATACCACCTTCTTCAACCAATATATTGGCAACCCCTATGGGATGGTTTATGTATGGTGTTCCTTCAGGATCCTTCCTCTTCTGGAACCTATGTTTGATTGCACAAAAGTTGATGCATTTCATGAGGTCTTGCATTAATTTTTCTTGTGATGTCATGCTTGTTAAATAATATCTGTAAGTAACATTAAGTTTGAAATATTAGTCAATTATAAGCATTTAAAGATAGTAAAATAACTTATATAACTACCATATAATTGATGAAGGGAGACACTAGCGGATCCAGGATTTAATTTTGAGAGAAGCTTCAGCCCGAAAGATTTTTTTTTATATACATATTACAATAATTAATTAGAAAAAAAAGAGAGAAATTGACTACCTATATGAAATGGTGTTTAAGTGGTTCTTGAAGTCCTATTAAATATAATTACATGAACAAGAATACTTTAAGAGATAGTTTTTAATATTTTTTTCTGTAAAACATGGTTGTATTTTACCATTTTTGGGGGGGAAGGTTCAGCCCGAAAGCCCCCCTTCCTCCCCCGTAGATTCGCCTGTGAAGGGAGATAAAAACATAGTATTTTTTAATGAAAATGAATTATTGAACTCAGGTTTCCCAATTCCAAGAATGCTTATGTTTCACTAATCTAGGGCTATTTTAAAATACCTGCAAATAAAAGGCCCACATACTATAAGAAGGATGAACAATTTTATTTTTATAGCTAAGTGTATTTTTGATCTCCATGGTTCAATATCACTAGATACAAGTATTAGTTAAATACTAATAGAAATATGTTATTAAATAAAATGTACTATAAACAATCAAATGGATAATAATTATAAAATAATAAATAGCAATGATCATATAATTAAAATTGGGTGATATTTGAGATAAGAAAAATATTTGTAGCAAACCTAAATTTTTTTTCCACATTCTCAATAAAAAATAACGAATTAACTAAACCAAAAATTTAGATACAATTGAAATAGATGGGAAAAATTAAGTGGTGTACCTACACAATTTGAGGCAGGGGCAGATTGGTGTTTGAAGATTCCTAAAAAAAAATGTTTATTTGTTTTCGGGGATAGCTCAATACAAATATTTTTGGCCTCATAAACATAATAAATATAGCTGTCACATAAATTACAAAATAATAAACAAAAAAAGGGGATAAAAAAAATTAGTGGATCGCCCCCCTCACTATCTTTACGCCACTGCGACATGCAAGCTGTTTTTCATAACTCAATAATAGTAATAAAATAAATGGTGGTCAGAGCTAAAGGTTTCAAGAGTCCCATAAGTAATTAATTTTACTCAGTTACAGCAATTTTCTTGGAGTTACTAATTGCTCAAAACGTAAAACAGTAGTTTAAATTTGTCCACTAGGATCGCCTGACTCTACTTCCTGTACAAGGATTTTTTTTTCAAAAGAACGAACTTTAATAAAACTATTTTTATTAATTTTTTTTTCCAATTAATAATCTGTGAGCAATTTTTGGTAATAATTTCATGATTAATGATAAGTATCAGTTTTTTTTTAGATCTGTGGTGAAGAAGAGAGCACTTGATGTTGTATTATCTCCTTTGCAGTATCTATTTAATATTTACTACTTCCTTCTAGACAAGATCTGATAAAAAACGTAAACGAAAATTTAATCCCGAACGTAGAAGTCAAGTGAATACTGGATATTTTGATAACTTACATTATTTCACGATTAACATAAATATAGGCAAATAATATTCATAGGATTAGCAGTAAGAACTTTCCAAGGGATTAAAAAATAATACATTTGTCAGGCATAAAATGACACCACATGAAACCAATTAGACCCACGTATAATTATTTAATCTAACCAACAACTGTTGAACATAGTCAAAATACTTTTTACCATCATTATTAGAATATGGTTGGGATAAACCAAATTACAATCAGTCAGTACATAATTACCAAAATTCGAGACGTTGCTTAGATGTTGAAAGGCAATTAATGTCCCAATTAAGACTCAATAACTTGAGATCCAAAATGGAACAATTAAAAACTGAATTTAGTTATTAAAATTTACACTATAACCTTTACGTAACGAAGGCTATACTAGGTTTCCGAAATTAGGTTGAGTTATTTGTAAACAAGTATCCTTCCTATCTCTTATCTATCTATTGTAGATTATTTTCTGCCGATACGATTGTATTTCCATTTTTCGGCAGATTTTGAATTTCTGTCAATGTTCTCGTTATCATATATATTTTTTATTTTTAATTTAAATGAATCCCAAGATTGTTAATTTCAATCATTAACCAGTGAGTGTTTTAGTTTTGATAAATTAGAAATGACAGTCCTTTTAACAGCAGACTGGACACCTTTTGGAAAGGATGACTACTTCAGGTGCTGATTAATAAAATTTTATCAACCCCCCTCCCCCAACAATATTTCCATAAAATGGTTTTATCTTTCTTTTATATTTTAAGGAAATTTGAAGTATACAACATGGAATGGTCTGATATTGATCTAAATACATTGTCATTAACATCAACTTCATTTGGTGGTCCTGTAGCTGTTATTCGAGATCGTAACAAGTTTGTTAAGGTTCAGGGTAGTGGAAAACCTATAATAACTATATATACAACATCTGGAGTCTATATATCTTCATTTAATGTAAGAGTTTTATTCATTTTTTATTTGAGTTACTCTTAATGTCTCTTGTTATTCATACAAGCAGGGCCATTGGATGTCCACTTGTTTACAAAGTTTACTTTTTCAGCATGAAATAGTGCTTTGGAGCCATATTATTGTTATTTAAATACTCTGAATTTAGATGAACAAGTTGTCAAAAGTAAAATAATTTCATGGAATGTACTTCTTTACAAGTATCACTTCACTTTGATGGGTGTGCACAAAATCATTATGAAGTGTAATATTTAAGTTAATATATTGGATCATAAGGACCATGATCCAACTAGAAATGAATATTAATAAAGGGAGGTTATTCCTGTGAACACATCAATAGTTAGCAATACTAAACCATTCTTAGGATTCCATTTATGATGAGATCTTGTGTCCACTGATTGAAGTGGAGCAACACTTGTAAAGTAGTTCAATAGGAGGTTTCAAAATTCTGGCATTTGTAAGTTGATAAATTCAGATGGGGCAGATTGTGGTTTTAAAAATTCAATGTAGACATAAAGACTCCTCAAAATTTCCCAGTTAATTTCTTTTAGAATTTACTGTGCTCTGAATTATAAAGCTTTGTTTTTGATGTATACCATAATTCTTGCCGAAAGCCTTTGAAGTACCATGGTTGTCATGGGATGCTTATCACATTTCATTCCAAAGATATAAATTTGTTAATCATTATATTCTACAATAAACTAAAAATCTATCGAAAAGATAAATGAAGGAGAATAGTCCTCAGATCTTGTAAACATCTCAGATAATATAGGAAGAAACTATTTGATATTTTTAATAAAAATAAACACATTTTGTAGACATTTTAATTTGCTTGGTTGTTAGTATTGCCATAGAGATGATGAAGTTGTAATCAATGTCTGGTTTCTATATTCAAGTCAGAGAGCAGAAAAGCAAGGATCCTGCTGTTCTTCACCAAATTTATAGATTGAGTACAATACAGCTGACTCATATGGCTTAACAGAAGAAATATTTTTCTGTTTAACCAGATAATTACTTATTCAGTAAACAGTTACTTATAGTTTTCATAAAGTATGGTGCTTTGCCAATTGTCTGTATTGAATCTTCTTCTTCTTCCATGGCTCTACAACCCACGAGAGGTCACAGCTGCCTTAAGTAAGGTCCGCCATTCATCTTGGTTCTGTAGAGCCGATCTCCAATCCCGGAACCCCAAAATGTTGTGTGCATCCTTGGCCACCTCATCCACCCAGCGTATTCTGGGCAGTCCATGCCTTCTGCTGGTGTGAATTTCTTCATTGAGGAGCCGTTTTGGTACCGAGCCTGCATTCATTTTACTTAGCCACTACCATTATCCACCACATGCCCACCACCCTGAGCCAACCAACGCTGATGAAGCACATTATATTGTAGTCGTACAGCTCAGAAATCTTGGTGTTTGTCCTCTAATCCACCAGGCTACCTTATTGGTATTGAAATTCGCTCCGAAAATTCTTCTTAAACAGTTTCTTTCGAATCAGAGGAATAGATTTTCCTAGGACTTGGATAGAGTCCTATGTACATACTGGCCTAATCACAGTTTTGTTTAAATGCAATTTGGTTGTGCGAGAAAATATTCTACTTTCCATCAGTGACACTAGCCCAAAATAACATTTATTAGCTGAAACAATTCTAGTTTGGATTTCCTTTCCCACATCATTATCCTGAGTTATTAAGGAGTCAACAAGGTATATGAATTTCTCTACTCTCTCAAATGCACATCCGTTCAGTTGTACATTGGAAGGAAGCATCCCTAGTGGATTCGTTACCATACATTTTTTTTTAGATTGGTTAAGTTGAAGCTCCATTTTTGCAGATGGAGCTTGTAAGTTCTCTAACACCTCAGCCATTGCTTTAAAATTTCTTCCAATAATATTATCAATATCATCTGCATAGCCCAGTATTTGGACTGAACAATTGAGAATTGTTCTTCCCACTTGTATGCCTGACCCCCTTACCCCGAGTTTGTCTAATAGGCCTTCTTAATAGTAAGTTAATATATTGCTGTATACAAATAAAAATATTTTCTTAATATTGTTTATACTTCAAATACATTGGGGAAAAGGACAATACCTAATGCAAGAATTCTCGCACATGTGTATTGGTTCACTTTTAATTTTAATTTTAATTTTTAATTTTCTTGAATTTTGTTCTCTAAAACTTTGGTAATGAAGTATAAAATGTAATATTATTTTCATTTTCCAAATGTATGGTTCATAAGAATGTAAAGTATTTTTTCTTTGGACAGTTAATTTGAAAGCCATTCAATAGAATAGTTTCAATAATGGACGTTTTATTTGTCCCGAACTATGCGTTATTATTTTTTCCAAGTTTCACAATATGGCAAAAATAATATTTGGTGTTTCCTTTAACGATAAAGTGTTCTTGGATGTTCATCTTGGATATATTCATATAAACCTATTTTTGGATCTTGTTAAGATATTAAGTATTTATTCTATGAACAAAAAAAAAGTTTAATCATAATTTATTGGTTCATAAAAATAGTTATTTATGGATAATAATTAGAGTATAAATTTCTAACTCCTTATTCAGGGGTAACAAATAGGTTCAGTAATAATGAATATATTCTCTATTATTTATTCACAAATAGTAATGAAAAAGTTAATTGATTACTGTATCAAGTTATTCAAAATATAATTTGTCCTAGTCTAATGCATGTAGGTTATGTATCAAGTTTGCATTATTAATAGAAGATAAGATTGATTGGGATGTTCAGTCAAAAAATAAAAATAAAATCATAAATGGTTGACTGTCGTGGATAATGAAGAGAAGAATAGTTGGGTTGGTCAGTCAAAAAAGAAGGCATAAATAAATGATAATATTTATTTTTACCTATGCCGACGTTTTGACTTGAAGTTCAGGCCTTCATCAGGGCTAAGAAAATAACCAGATAACAAGGTATGAGAAACATAAGTAGTGATGGTAAAAAATAAGAAATAAAGAAATAAAAATAAAGTAAAATGAAAGTTCTTACTATTGTCATTATTCTAACAATTTCATTTTACTTTATTTTTATTTTTTTTTTTTTACCATCACTACTTATGTTTCTCATACCTTGTTATCTGGTTATTTTCTTAGCCCTGATGAAGGCCTGAACTTCAGGTCGAAACGTCGGCAATATGTAAAAATAAATATTATCATTTATTTTTGCCTTCTATTTTTACTGACCACCCCAACTATTCTTCTCTAAATTATGTATAATATATTTATTTTTACTTTTTTTTTTTTTACTGTCTTTTGTCTGACTTTTTACAGTCAACCATCAATCCAAAATTTTGCTTTATTTATATCTTGTTATTATTGATTTATGTAGTGGAGTAGTGGACAAATAGTTCGGCTTGGATGGACCTCTTCACTCGATCTGTTATGTATTATGGAAGATGGGCACGTGCTAATGTATGATATATTCTCCAATTACCGACATACATTTAGTATGGGCCAGGTAACTATTTTCATCATTATTTTTTTTTAGGTTTTATGTAAATAGAATGATGTAAATTATGAATACACGCCAGAATATCAGCTGCTGGCCTATAACATGCCAACATCTAATTATTGATATGAGTTCTAGACTATTTGATGTACAATAATGTTTCATTGTTATGTTGTCACTTGTTCTTTTCTTACCCATCAATCAGTAAAATTTTGTGTTATTCTTGAGTATTATTATTATTTTGAACTTTTTAACCTGTTAATTTTATATTGACGGTTTCTGTTGTTTGCTAGGAAGCTATTGATACCAAGGTCATTGATGCCAAAGTATTTTATACAGCTCAAAGCACGGGGATAGCAGTTTTAACTGCTGCTCATAGAATATTTCTAATAAATAGCGTAAATGAACCTAAAGTTAGAAGATTGCCTGAAATCCCAGGTCTGTATTTCCATGAATTTTGTACATTAAGCCTAATATCAGTTAGTGATTTTTAATTATTAAATGTTTTTTTTTAAAACAATATCTCGTTAATCACGTTACATTTATCTTACTTTTAATAAATTTTTAATTGAAAAAATCATAAAACTTAGTATTTCATGTGTCTTTTATATTTAGGTGTACATAATGCTTCTGTGTGCTGGGAGGTAATGTGTGAAGACAGACATAGCAAAGTTTTGTTCGCAAGAGGAAAAGATTTATATAGCCTGAATGAAGCAGAACAGAATGCTGTTGTATTGGTATCTGACCTATTTTTTAATTTAAAATTATAAAACATTTATACTTAGTGTTATTTTATTTTATTTGTATAATACTATTTACTTTACTTTACTATTTTAATTTTAGATATTTTTATAATTGTAAGAACAACTGGTTTCTATTATTAATTCAAGCAGAATTAACTTTTTAAAAATATTGAATAATAATACAGGCCCTGAAGGATGTAAAAAATTGAACCAACACGTCATATTTCTCAGAGCTTTTGTTGAGTGCTTCACCAACCCCATCACTTTTCATCATAAAATTCTTAGCTGATAAAGATGTATTTAATAATATTTATTTTTTCAATGAAAAAAATATTCCATTGTCCAGTGCTTAGACATTAGGGCTGCTATATCATGTTCTGTCCCATATATGAACAGTTACCAGACATTAACCAAACAAATAAACAAGTAATGTTTTTATTTACCATAAACCTCGTCCAAACATTTGGTGGCAAAGACTTTCTGAATATTTTATGATCTTATTACTTCTTATTAAATCATAAAGAGAATTTTGTTTTTATTTTAAAAAATGTTGGTCAAGATTTTTTTTTGTAACTATGTCTGTAAACCTATGTTATATTAGAACCACATATTTATTGAAATAAAAGCTTTGGGCAATACTAATCTAACATAAAGTACAAGCCAATTATCAACAAAATTATAATTATAAAGAAAACTTAACTTTGACTATTTTTTTTTCTGGAAATGAATTGATCTAAAAATTTTGGTTAAAAATGAGTTTATCCGGGGTTGAAATTCGGAACTACAGTTGTAACATTCTGCCAGTTTTAATGATTCAACAAATATATATGTTTATATAATTAACAAATCATTTTATTTTATTTATGCAATTTTAATGCCTAAATATTTCAGGATGTTGATCTTGGTGATGATGTGTATATGATTAAAGCTATGGCTGTGTCATATGACTTTAAACTCTTGGCAATATTTACTGATAGAGGTAAATTGTGGATTGGAAAATCAGATCTTAGTAAATGTTTCAGACTGTATGATGTAAGAAATACATTGATTCCTGTTCAGTTAGTGTGGTGAGTTTTTAATAGCATTTTTTATTTTTTTTTACTATAAATTATAATATAATATTATAATTAAAATGATACTTAGAAATAGAAAAAAGAAATCATTTTATGGATGTAGCTAACCATGTTCTTTAAATATTTATTAATGTAATATGTTTCTATTTTGTTCGATTAGTTCATTCTTTTATCCTTCTTCTACATACTGTGATTTTCTGATTTATGAAAACTTTTTAATTCTGGACTGTCTGACTTTAGGATAAACTATCAACTAAAAACTTAACTTTATTATCTGTTTTTAATCTTATCATGTTGTGCTCCAGGTCATTGGTTTTTAGTTCAGACAATGTTGAATGGTTATTTTTCATGCCTCTTCTCTTTTAAGAAACTCTTTAAATTCGAACGAATGCATTGAACTGGTTATAACCTTGGTACTTCTTCACTAGCAGGCCGGGACTGACTGCTATCTGCCAATGTTTATAACCTGAACCCTGATAATTCCGATAAGGCAGTGATAAGCCTTCTCGTACTTCCTGTCTTCGTATTATCATATTATATTCGTATTATTGAAAGTGTAAACAGAAACAAAAACAAATGTAATAACAAACAAATTTTATTTTATGACACGTATATTAATGAAATAATAAAAAAACACTTAAAGAAGATATATACATATGTTTAGAAAAAAGACTCTCGTCTACTTCAACCACTTTGCCAGACCCTCCAATTTTTTTTGTTGACCTGTGCAGCTCTTTGCCCCACTTCATCGTTTTTAAGTTATGGGATCAATTTTAAAGCCGTTAAAAACGAAATCCTCAAGCCCTCCAACCATCTTCCTTTCCTTATTGAAAGTTTTATGTCACAAGTGCTACGACAGCATCTCTATTTGACGTTCCTCGTTAACTTCATTTGATGACCTCGTTTACACAATTTCACGTCTGCAAGTATCCCAATGTTTTGGAAATATTCAATAGCCTGTTCTTCTGAAGTCGGTAAATCCCAGAATGTAACAAGATTCATAATTTGCCGAAAATAAACTAAAAAAAAAAAAGAAAAATAAACACAAACGGACCAAAAAGTAGAGAATTTAATAAGTGAACGTAATAACGGAATAACTGTAAAATAAACAATGTATTAACTGAAAGGTTTGGCGGGATAAGAAGAGGGAGGTTATGTGACATGACGTTAGATAACACAGATAAGAAGTGAGGTTTCAACCCGGCCTGCTAGTTAAGTAGTACCATTACCTTTATAGTCTTGAATTCATATTCTACAATGGTTTTCTGCTGTGTTAGCTACATTACAATTTTCTCTTGAAAGAGTGCCTTTTAATTATAGTAGTTCTAGACCTACTAAAGGTTTTATTATGAATGTACTACGTAAAACTCATATAGATTGAACTTTATACATTATATCATTTACTCACTGTGCAAAGAACAAGAACATATTTTAAATAAAGGTTAAAAACCTGCTATTTATTTTACATAATAAGATCCAAATTGATAAGGACCGTTTCATTGATAGGAGAAAACTGGTTTTTGGCTGAATATATTTTATACTTAGAACATTTTTACATATATATAATTTTAAAGTTAATTATTTTACAGGTGTGGAAATGATGCAGTTATTATCAATTGGGGTATGATATTAGAAGTGATTGGTTTAAAAGAAGAATGTATTAAATATCACTATGATGAGTCAGTATTTCTTGTCCAAGAAGTGGATTGTGTGAGAGCTATCACTTTACAATCTATGGATATAATACAGAAAGTTCCACAAGTAGTAAGAGATATTTTTCGAATCAGTGGCACAGCTCCTGGGTCATTTTTACTCGAAGCTTCAAAACAATTTAAGGTAACATTTACTCATTTTAACTTAATCATACTATCTATTGGTTTCGGTTGAGAATCTATTCTTTTTGGTATTAATTTTATTTTTTTCACTTATTGTAGAAAAAAAATCATCGGTCTAATGAATACCTCCATATAGTCAAACCAAAATTGTTTTTAGCTGTACAACAATGTGTTGAAGCTGCTGGCCATGAATTCAATACTGAAACTCAGAAAATGTTGATTAGGGTTGGTTACTTTTATTTTTTTCTCTTCTATAATTTAACATTTAATTTTATTTGTTTAATTTTTTTTTACTATTCTAGGCTGCCCAGTTTGGCAAGATATACCTTGATGATTGCAGTCCAGAAAATTATGTTACTATGTGCAGGGTGTTAAGATGTATAAATGCGGTTCGCAGTCCTAAAATTGGAATTCCTATAACACACACTCAGTATCCTTTATTTTTATATTATTATTAATATTACAACATGTTATTCATTGCTATGGCTAGCGTTCTTCAGTTAACCCTTGATAATAATCCTTTTTTGGATAATTTAATGGATTTTTAATACACAATGAATTACTATACTTCTTCTTCGTTCTCCCCATTCAGGCTGTCACTGAGCCATATTTGAGGAGTATTGTGTGGAAACTTCCGAACCATCATGAAAGATATTTGAAGACTATTTTACATCTTTCTGTTAGTTATCTACGACTAAAGCGCAATATTTAAGGGTTTGTTCCCTCGCATTTCTTCGGCTTCAGAATTACTGTACTATAAACTAATATTTCTCACTATATTTAGCATAAAGTATGTATATAAAATTATGTTTTAACTTCTATAAGCTTTTATTTTATTTTATTTTTTTTGTTCATTACATTAAGAATAAAAGCATTGTTTATGATACTTCAAGGTAAATTGCTCATCTTCACATGTATTCATTTTATAAACAAGTAATGCCAAATTTTCTTTCCAGTTCATTAAGCTGATACAAGCTAAAAAAAAATTTAGACATGATTTATTTTATGAAATCTATTTTTAATTTATTAAAATTAATTTCTACACACATATTCTATCATTTTTATATTTATTTATTACCATGTCTGGAATTTATTAAATGGTCATACCAACATTGAAAAAATAAAATAACATACAATGAGCTATTAAATAAACAGATTATTCAGGTTAAAGATTACTTTTTAAAATATATCCAAACTAAATAGTCATCTACTACAGGAGAATCGGACCATTTTATAAGATGGAAGCAATGAATGAAAATTATTGTATCATATGGTTAGTTTTTGCAGATATTATAATTTTTACTGATGGAAGAGCTGATTTAAGGAGAATCTAAAGTATATTGAGTTACCAGAGATCTAATGGTGGGAGAGCCACTATTGATTGCTTAGCAAAAAAGAATACTAAAATAAAAACATTACTCCTAAAATGCCCCATTTATAGTATATTCTTTTGGAAATTAAATTATTTCTAATAAAGCTTTTGAAAAGTTCTTTGAAGATTTTTTTTTGCATTTTATTTATATTTTTATATGGAGTATCTATTTTTCCTAAAAATTTGATTTTATAGAATGAAAAAAATCCTTATAAATATTTAGACTTTACACACTTACAGTACAGGGTCTAATGAAGCTCCTCATGATACGGCATCATCATTTCTTGGCTTTAGATTTAGCAGCATTTTTGAAGATGCCAGAATCTAGTAATGTAATACGTCTGCATTGGGCATGCTATAAGGTAATGTATTTTTTATGAGCAAAAGTTAAGTTTAACTATTTGAAAAATTTTCTATAAGTTTTTCTATTTATTATTAAAATAAAAACTAATTGTTAGGAAATATATAAGTAATGATAAGTTAATAATTAATTAGAGTATATTGGATTATTTTTTTTACCCTTGGTTAGAAAAAAAATTTCACATCTTATCAATTTATTTTTTGCAATTTCAATTTACTTCATTTTTTTTTCATAGGTTAAACATAGTAATCGTAACAAAGATCAAGTTGCCAAAGAAATAGCTGAGAAATTAGGATTTAACAAAGGAGTGTCCTATACAGAAATTGCTAAAAAAGCTGCAGATTGTGGTAAAACTGAGCTAGCAATAAAGGTTAGTTCAAGAAATAATTATTAGCACTGTTATTGTGTACATATAAAAATACTCTATTATTGTTGTTTTTGTCAAGATTATAGAATATGAACCTTTAGCTAACTTGCAAGTCCCTTTACTTTTGCGACTGGGTGAAGATCGCACGGCATTGGTGAAGGCTATAGAAAGTGGTAATACTGATCTTGTTTATACTGTACTTTCTCATATGCGTGAGAATATTCCTCTTGGAAAGTTTCAGGTATTAGCCTAAATTTAATTAATGTCATAATTGAACTCCAAAATCAAATATTTCATACTGTATAATATATTTTTTAGATGGAAATTAGAGGTTTTCCTTTGGCCCAAGCACTTTATTTGAAATATTGCAGATTACATAATAAGGATACGTTAAAGGATGTTTATACTCAAGAAGATGATCATAAGTCTCAAGCTGTTTGCTATATTAGAGAAAGTTTAGATCCTAAAGTAAGTATAAATATATAAATTATGTGTCTTTATTTACTTGATAGAAAACTATTTTTATAGTAAATATGAATTACAACTAAAATGCCTTATTACTGGTTCTCTTATCCTTGACTTGCTTAACATGGAATGAATAATTACATAGCCTTATAGAGGTACTATCTCTATAGCAACTCCTTTTTTATTTTTTTATTTTCAGTTGAGAGAACTTAATGATATATTCATTTTAAAAACATAATTTAATTTAAAGAGTATATGAAAATAATAAGCCAGGTTCATATTTAAAACAGGAAAATAAAAAATAAGAATATTCTTTTTATTATTACTTTTCTAATAATTAGAGTAGGTATGTATGCAACTTATTAGAATTGCTTATAAAACTAATAGACACTAGATTCCTCTCCATTCAAGTTATTAAGTTGTCCAGATCTATGTCCAGGAACAATCATGTTAATCAATATTTTTTTGTCAATTTAGAATTCAGGTATGCGGGAAGCTTCTTTGGTGGCTGCACAGGAAAGTTACAAAAAGGCTAAATTGGATCTTCATGCTTCTTTCTGTGAAGAACAACTGAAGCTTTTAAAGTATCAACGTAGTTTGGAAGAAAAATTTAAGAGAGACTTTGTAGGAAAATCACTTCATGCCACCGTTAAACTTCTTTTAAGTGCCCAAGAAGTAAAACTTGCAGATAAACTTAGAACAGAATATAAAGTTCCTGACAGAAGGTATTATTACAGGGGCTATAAGAAAATTAATCTCTAATCTATAAGTTAAGGCTCATTTACACGGTGCCAGTTGGCTTGCCAGTCGAGGTCGCCAGTCACTCAATGCCAGCGACTGGCAACGTGTAAACGGTTCATGCCAGTCACTGGAGAGGCCAGCGAGGCACTGGCAAGAAAATTTTGATTGACTGGCGCACTGGCAAGCGCCTACTTGGAACTAGATACGACTAACCAGCAAAACAAATCATTATTTTAATATCTTTTTTTTTAGTTTAATAAAAATTTATACAAACTTATAGTCCGTGGCACAAACTATAATACAGACTATAATGTAAATAAATATATATATATATATATTTTTTTTTTTATTTTTTTTTATTTTTTTTTTTTTTTTTTTTTTTATTAAAACGAGATATCTGCTTGTTAAGAAAAACTGTAATTAAAGGTATAGTAAAAAACACCTTGATGACTTAATAATGTAGTATGATTTCATTTGATTCTAGTGCTTTCATCTTATTCATTATGCTTTAAGTATGCTATATATAATAGACTTTCACTAACTATACTTATTACTACGGTTAAGGTCCCCGGATTCCGATATTCGTCTAGACTGCCAAGTAGCCGGGATTGTTTCGAATTTTGTCTATCTTACGAAGCCTATAAAATTGTAGTTTTTAGAAATATTTGAAGGGGAGCCGGATAGATTTAAAGATGCTAACGTAAATAATCATTATATACGATATGAAGGTGTAGGACGCCTGGGACCGATACCGCTCGAGACTGATTAAATATGATTTCCGCACGGTATCATCCCCCGACATCCGATACATATTCCTGACGTGACAGAACAGTGCTCACGCATGGTGATTGAGATAATGTTTGGAACGTTAGAGGTCAATTCTTGGATTATCTTTAATATGAAAAAAGAAAAACCCATATCAATTAGAAAATTCTTATCTGTTCTCGCTGATGAACTCGCAACTCAGCACCAAACATCGTTACCATCCATTCTTTTATTAAGCCTTCAGGCTAGAGAGGAAAACAGCGATAGCAGAGAATGCTAATAAGAACTGAGAAAGATCCTAGGAAGTAATGAGGCAAATAACTAGTATCACAAGCAGTTAGCAACTTAATACTTCACTTCAATTTTTCCTTTTCTTAAAATAAATTCCAATGTAATAGTGAATACCCAAATACCTATACTTTTGTTGCATTTCCAGAATATGGTACTTATTTGGAAACTTCGTTTTTTTTTATATTCCATTTTTATCTATACATTTAAAAATCTATTATACGAATAATGTATAAATTATATCATAAAAACTATAATTATATGTAATAAATAAACTATTTCTCATTTTATTTTCAATATTTAAGATTTATGTCCCTAAAAATAACACTTTTTTAATGAAATAATGATAAACGGCCTCGGACGTTGGAGTCCACTCACTCCTACGATTGCTGGCCATTAATGAGAACACAATCAACAGATAGAGACTCCGAATAGGGAATTTAGTTCACCTTTTCTTTTAAAAGACAGCGGTATACCGCGAAACTTATGTATGCCTCTTCCAGCGTCTGATGCCGTTCGGAACTTCATAAATAGTGTCGGTCGCCGATGACCGATATTGTCGGAAAACACATTTAAGAGATATCATTCTCTGCAGCTAACGTGTTATATTAAATACATAAGTAGAGTATGTTTATATGAGTTTAAAAATACTGAGGTTGCGGGGAATTTCGTTTCAAGTTAATCAATGGCATCATTTTTATTGATATAACACTAATTGACGTTGCAACAAGAACTAGAAGAAAAAAAAAATTAATAAAAAGTAAGAAACAATATTTAACATTTTTCTTACCACCAAACATACTTTACCATTTAAACTTGTAATTAAATTAAATTTCTTTTTTCTTTTTTTTTTGTGCGTTTAGCTCCAATCCAATTAGAATAGGTTGGTTGTACCTCTTAAACAGCACTATACAAAACCCCCCTTTATTATAAATAGCGAGGCAGGTAGTAAATAGTTCACGAGAGAGAGACTGGTCTGCCAGTCAACTGGCACATGCCAGTAGAACAAATATTTTTGTTTGACTGGCACACTGGCAAGCCCCTACCCTCGGCAAGGTATGATTAACCAGCAAAACAAATTGTCCAAAATACTTATTTAAATACCTTTTTTTTTATGATTGATGAAAACCTATACCTAACTATAAATCAGCTGAAGGAAATATTACCAAAATTTTAAAATAATATATCCTGTGCGAACGCCAACATTCGTAATATAAGCTTAGCAAATTGTAGATATCGGTAATAGATTACACTGCAATAAGGTGTTTTATTTTAGTTCTAAATCGCTTATAACTAATCTGTCTGTATTTATTCATAACTTTTAACACTTTTAAACGATAAAGATTTGTTCTTATTTTGTATGGCACTTATATGCCAAATCGAAACCAGAAAAGATAAAAAGCATCTTTAATATGACAGTGTCTATCTGTATGGGCGGAAAGATTAAGATTTCAGAGAATATTATATTAAGTAAATAAATCGTAGAAGATGATGGTGAATGACAAAGAACGCTTAAATGTATAGCTTAAAATGGAGGGTAATAACTTATGATAATGGATTATTTATTTATTCCTCCCTTCCTTGCCTTTCAGCTACATGACATTTTCCATTGTAACAAATGTAATTCATTTATTATTTCATAAATGTAATTTATTTATTTTACACAAAATTTTTAAATTACTTCGATAAATTATTAATATTTTAAATACAGTCCTTCGTTTCAGATTACCATTTGGTCATTGATTAGATCGACTTTAAAGTCAATTAGAATTTTAACAGAACTGTTTCAAAATATTGTTAACATTTGAATAAATACAATATTTTATATTGTATACAATATTTTACATTGTATTATTTAAGATAAAGTAAAAATTAATATTTTATTATTTTGCTTTTAATGCATCTATCTTCGACCTAATGACTTCAATTCAAATTCAATATCCAACAAAACATAAACAGACAAATTTTTAGCCACTATATTAGTACTTTTCAAGGGCACTGAAAACAAGGGAGGTAACTAGGAGTTGACGGACTTATATGGAAGGAAGGAGATAACATAGGCGGTTGAACTGTTTTAGGGAGGAGATTGCGAAGAGAAATTTGGCAGATGTGTGGTTTCCAGGAGAGGGTTTAATCAAAAGTAACACCTAGTTTTTCAACGGTAGTATGGAATAAGATAGGGGAGTTGTTCATGAGAAGATTGGGGAATACCTCTGGACAAGGATGGAGATTCTGATGGGAGGTTTTAGGATTTACAACAAAAATCAGGACCATAATCGTTTGTATGGGACTTCTGAATGGAGTTAAGAAGATCATTAGGGATAATGTGGGGGAAAAAGTAGTGATCAGTATTAAAAGAGGAAAACATAGGAGCCGGACTGGACGTGATGTGGTTGCTAAATGGCAGGCGACAAAGTGAGCGTAGAGGTTATCAGCAGAAACGGAAATGGACTGGGACTGAGGTGTATTACCAATGGTCAGTTTTCTAAGAATAGCCCAAGTGGCATTGGTGTTAGGGGAGTTCAATAAGGAATAATAGTATTAACTGGATTTGGTACGGCGTACTGCTGATTGAGTACTGTTTCGAAGCTGTTCGAAGAACAGAAAATCTTCAGGAACTCGAGTTCGTTTAAACCGTCGGTTTGCAGCATCTCTTTCTCTCATACACTCTCTCAAAGCAGAAGTCAACCAAGGAGCGGAAGGATTTTGTTTGTGATAATAGGAGCATGTCAGTCGAGGATGGAGTGAAGATGAGTGGTTAAGGTTTCTACCATGGTGTCGATGGATTTTGAGAAGTAAATACGATCCCATTGAATATCGTCAAGATCGTTTGAAAATGTTTCGTGAGTGAGTGGATTTAGGTTTCGGAAGGATATCGTTCGAGGAGAAAAGGATGGGATAGGGATATTGTAAGAAATCTGGATAAGACCGTGGTAAGATAGAAACGGGATCGAGTGCTGAAATGCAGGAGGGAGTTTGTCTAAGAAATCTAGGATAAACAGATCGAGCCAGGACTCCGAGAACTGGGTATATATGGTAGAGTTGTAGGATACTATAAGATAATGGCTAAAGGCTGAGAGAATGGAGGGCACTTTTTAGGTAAGAATAATCGATCGATTACATCAGTAAATTGGTTTTAAATTCGCCGGAGAGGATGACATTTGAGTAGGAAGGAATTAAGTTGTACAAAAAAATCTCAAATGATACATCAAAAACAATTCTAGTAGGGCGATATATGACAGCAAACAGAATGGCAGATGAAGTTGTGAGGATTTCGGCAAAGAGGTATTCAATGCGCAAAGAATCGGTTAAGAAAGAGCAACGAAGGATTGTGGATTTAAGGCTGACATGGACAAAGAGACCTACTCCACCATCCGTACGATCCACTCTGTCATGACGAAGGAGACTGAGCGTTGGAATGGCAGGTTAAAAAATCATAAAATTCATAACACTCGAATCGTTCTACATTAACGGGAATGTGTAAACTTTAGGCGCCAGTCAACTGGAATGCGACTGGCACCATGTAAATGAGCTTTAACTGTAATGCGCCAGTCGACTGGAATGCCAGCGACTGGCGCCAGCGACTGGCACCGTGTAAATGAGCCTTTAAATTTTCTTATTTATTGTTATATTTTAAATATCCAATTGTTATGCATGATAATATTACAGTTTTCATAAATAAAAAATTGTTAAGTGTAATTAAAACCTTTTAACATCAATATATTTGAATTTGTCATAGGTACTGGTGGCTTAGAGTTCAAGTGCTTGGTGAACTTGGTGACTGGTTCGAGCTAGAAAAGTTTTCAAAGTCCAAGAAATCATACATTGGATATGAGGTACTTATTTATTTATTTTTTTAAATTAAGAAGGCATTTTGTTAAAATTGATGTTCTCAGTAATATGGAACAGCACGTAGTATAATAGAGGATTACTCATTAAATCTTTGAATTTTAACTAATAAAGATTTAATAATTACAACACAGAAAATGTGATATTATCTATAATTTTTAATGTAACCAATTAATTATTTCAGCCTTTCCTTGATATATGCCTCAAATACGGTAATCGATATGAAGCTCAGAAATATTTACCCCGAGTAAGGGAAGAACTTAAAGTGAAATATCTTGTAAAACTAGGGTAAGTGATAAAATTTTCAATATTTGTTATAGTGTTATACATTTCAGTTTTTTTATCATATTGTGGAATGAAGTTGGTTGTTTCAAGTCAATTGCGCAAGAATCCCTCATAAGACTAGTCATCTTCAAATCACTGGTCTCCTAGAGCTTCTTTAACAGTTCAAATGAATAGAAATCACAGGATTATAGATCCAAATTATTGATGAAGTTTAGATCAATGCATTTCCTGCAGATTAGAGACCATTAGAGCTGCAGTGTGGAGCCTGCCATTGTTGTGGAGGAGGATGACCTCTCATATTGGTTGGTCTTGTCTTTTGCAGCAATATGCATCCATCACCTCTTTCAATAGCTCTGTTGTAAGCAGCATTGATTGTGCATTTCTCTTGCAACAAATAAATGAGCTAAATGCCTAGCAGGACAGAAAACTGGTTGTAAACCTGGAAATGGTTGAAAAAACCTTTCCTGCTGACTGTTGAGTCGTGCCTTTCATTGGGATCGCCTCCCTTTTTCTCCGCCTCTCCTTACTGGCCTGTTTGGATTCGAGAGGTTCGTTGTTGACCCATGTTTTGTTGCAGGTGACAATTCGACTCAAAAATACATCACCTCCATTCGTTGACCTTGCTGTAAGCCTCAGACAGACCTCCAAACATTTCAATTTTTGATTTTAGGCAAAAGGGGAGGGACTCATTTGGTAGATACTTTATGGAACTATAGATTGTTTTTTGTCATCGCTTGACTGCTCCCGTTACTTATCCACATCTGTTCTGTAATTTCTGATACTCTTACCCGTCGATCGTCTTCAAGAATGTCATCTAAAATGCAGGTCTGAGGATGGCAATCATGTAGCTAATTCTCCACACATTTTCATCCTCTCTGAACTCTTTATGTCTGGCAAACACATGTATACTTGATAATGTTTGATCACTGAACTGTCTATAAACAAGATATTTTATAATTATGTGTTGAGCACCTGTTGCTCCCACATAAAGAGCGTTACTGACGAAGTGTGGAACGACCAGCTCTTCCCATTCCTTATGGCCCTAACAAAGCATACTAGACACACGGGTGTAGTCATATCAACTATAGATGGTCAGGAACAAACTTTCTGTTTATACTTGATTCAACCTATCATGTGAAAATTATATGTACAGGAGCGTAAGCCCTCAAGCTTACAAATATAAATTATATATATATGGTTTTAATATATCTAATTTTAAGTATGCCAAATTATACTTTATTAATGTATATATATTTTAAATTTAATAGTATGATGGAAGAAGCTGCACAGGCTGCATTCGATCAAAAGGATCGTGAAGCTTTGAAATATGTTGAATCAAAATGTGATCCTGATTTATTAGAAAAAGTTGGAAGCTTCCTTCGACAATTGCCAAAATAATGTTTTTTGGTTCAATAGAGGGATATAAATATTATACCATGATTCGTACACCATTGGTTTGGTATAAATACATATACTTATTTTGTTATTCATCTAGAAATTTTATAAGAAAATTTGTATTCAGTTTCATTTATTTATTAATTTATTGTATTTGTTGATATATTATTTGCTGTATGTAAAATTTTATGTTCTTCCTATTGTAAATATTAATTTGTATAAATAATAAACAATTTGTATAACAAATTAATGACTTTTTCTTCAACCTAACATTTAATAAATTTTAATCTCAGGCAAGATCGCAAATAGGAGCTTTAATTTGTTTCTCCCCCATAAAAGTCAAGTTTTATAACTGTATTTTTAGGTACATAACATATTTTAAAATAAATGCCATTGTCCCATCACATTAACTTATTTTATTAACTGATTACATTAAAAAAGCAGAAACAAATATTTTCCATTCAACCTAAAAATTAAATTTCGTCTTTAATTCTGCCGCTCTGGGTGTGTTCCCTTCATGCTTTCTCCCCTTTCAGTTCCAGCCCTGCTCTTTGGTTAGATAGTCTGACTAAAACTGGATACCAAAACAGTCTAGATCACAGGTGAGAACATATAATCTTGAGGCCATATGTGGCCTCAGTGAGCTACTTGCGGCCTCCTTGCATTCCTTAATTTAACACTAGAATTAATTAATATTTGATTATATAGATTAAAAAGATTTGAAAATAGTTAGAATTAAATTGAAGAGTATCCGATAAGATCGTGATTTGCTAATACATATAAAGATAGCAACAGTAAAATATAAAAATAATAGTGGCCTCTATTGTCACTACCTAATCTTAGTGTGGTCTTGAATGATAAAAAGGTTCTCCAACTGTGATCTATACTGTTGCTATGCTGGTCAGAATTTAAGATTATGTAAATATATATATTGTAATATCTCTCTTATATTTTAATCTAATAATATAATCTCATAGAAGCTCACTTTTTACTGTTGCACTACTTCCAAAAGAAATAAGGATGCCAGAAGACAGACTGGTTAGGCTCACCTATGAAACACAGGTGGGAAGTAGGCCTAGAAAGATCTGAGAAAGCAGAATAAAAGAAGCCTTTGATGGAAGAGGTTGGACAAGAAAACAATTGGCACAAAATAGAGAATTATGGATCAGGCTCTGTAAGTGGAAAAGATCATTAGTATGTTATATGCTGATGCTTGTATATGTAACTGCTTGTAAATGAGTTTAATTTAATTTTATTAGGTTTTTTTTTTAAAATTATTTTAATGGAATTTACAACTGTATTACATAGAAAATACAATAAGTAAATGTGAAATTGGTAACATGACATGTACAACATGAAGAGAAACTACCCATTTGTATAACTCAAATTAAATTTCTATATTAGAAGATCCCGAGGCCATCTTCTTTTCAGACGCCTCGGAGGGTTATCAGAGATCGAGGACGAAGCAAGGTTTGAAACGAGAGGATTCGGATGGTTTTGCAGTTTGTTATGGAAGGACAGGTATCTGGATTGGGCCAAATCAGAAACATATGGAACATTAAGGTCTTTATGGATGATTTTATTTGTGAAAAAGTAAGGAGCGTTGAGGATTTTACGAAGGATTTTGGATTTTAAGGATTGGATAAGAGAGGAATTGAATGGTTTAGTGGAGCCCCAAAGCTGAATTCTGTAAGTCCAAATAGGTCTTATTATTGTCATATATACGAGTCGTTTATAATTGATTGAAAGCTTAGATCGTTTGTCAAGTAAGTGCTGCAGTAGTCGAAACCGTCGGGCGGTTTCTAGTCGTTTCAGTCTGGTATGGGGGTAATTTTATTAGGTTTAAATCTCTTGAAACTCAAAAGCTTACCAATATTATTTTATCATTTAAAAGAGAATTGTAGAACAGCTGGTTTTGAGCTCAAATTGTCTTGTGGATAACTTGAAAGTTCAAATAACCATAATTCTCAAACTACTTGTTAAGAGTTAGGTGAAATTTGGAGTTTCTCATTATTTTTGTCCTTAATATAAAAAAAAATTATTACAATCTGAGGGGATGGGTGTTAGCCCCTGAATAATTTAGGAATGAATTATTATTATTTAATTCAAAATTTAGTACTAGAGGACAAAACATTTACTCTAATATTCACTAAGAGCTTACTTACAAATAAAACATGACACTCCTACTAGTATATTTCTTGTTATCGTCATACCCACCTTTTTTGTTGGAGTGTTTAATAGAGAAAAAAAAAAGTACTACAGTACTATTTACGGAAAGCACAGTCTCTAGGTGTTGACCGAGATCACACTCAACAGCCAGATTTATCCCCTTAATTAATTATTTAATTAAAGGTACCCACTTTAAAGAGGTTGAGTGTGTCTCAGGAGGGTCTCCCCACGGCCAATGAAACAGAATAAATAAATTTTCTGCCATGAGCCGGGATTCGAACCTGGGACCTTTAGGCATTGGAAGCTCAGTACCCTACCATTGAGCTACCCCTCTCACTGGGGTGTTTAACATTTGAACCATTTTCATGTAGATTTAGTGCAGAAATTCTTTACTGTTATGCCATTTCCGAAGTCTGGATACTTAATTTTTGCCAACTATATTAAATATTCATTTATTAAAAAAAAAAAAAAAATCAACAAATCGAGTCAAGGTAGCAATATAAAAAGAAAATTAAGTAACAGTTTTCTAAATTTATTCAACTCAATCAACAACCAGAGGCAACCTCTCTGTAGTTGTATATTTACATTGAATATATACATATTTTTCTTTCTAAAGCTTTATTACCATGAATTTTATTTTTCAGAAAACAATAGGATAACCAAAATACATTATCACATATCAAAAATTTTAGTAAATATAATTTCTTGACCAGAATAAATCATACGTTTCAAATATAAAACCACACATGCTTTAATATGATGTATAATGGGTAGTTTTATAAAATATATCTAAAATATAAAAATTATTATCACCTTGATTTTTGATAAGATTGTTTTTTTTTATATAAAACTTGTGCGGTTTTATAATTAGAAAAAAGAAAACAAATATAAATATGTTATTTCATTAAACTTTCATCTGTTAAATATTAAAATCACTTTATGTTGACAGAATGCAACCAGTACCCTTAACTCCTTTACGGAATATCATTAGACAACAAAGTCGTAACTAATTAGTTACATTTAAATATACATCCAGATTGAAAGCAATCTTCCTAATACTTGTTTTCTTAGATACATATGTACAATGAGTGCAAAACCCAAATTGCTTTAAAATTATATTGAGCAACTTTGTATGCACCAAACTTCTAAAGACTGACTAGTTAAATTGACTTCACCTTAGGGATAACAGAATGATGTCAACAAATAAATATAACTAAACATGACTAGACTAAAATAAATTACTAAAAATCTCTTTGATCCACCAAAAGGAATATCATTTTGGTCTAAACAAAATTTTAACTAAAAACATTACTAAATAAAACAGCAGAACTAAACACCTTGGATATAAAGTGTTTGATTTCCTTCATTCATGATAACTATAAATATAAACCATTATCAATTAACAGCTTATTACTAATAAAGTTTTTAAAAAAGGTCAACAATTCTTTGTGTAACCACAAATGAAGGAAAAATAACATCTCTAACAAAAGCACCATTATTTTTTGTAGGTTAATCTACATAGGAATCTATTACAATAGGTCTTTGTGGCATTTGACATTGAGTTCTCTGACAAATTAGTTATCAGATAAAACTATCTCAGGTGGCTTCTCTGGTGAATCTGGTGATGTTGCAGGAGTTAAAACTCCTAAACTGCTAGTTGTTTTTGCTGTTTTGTCTTGTGACTTAGTAGCGACGACTAGGGTTTTCACTGGTAATCCTAAACTTGCTATATGTTTTAGTGTTAGTGTTCGAATAGGCTGCAAAGTTGGGATCTGCAATACTTGTGGCGTACCATTTTGAGTGGCTATGGTAGTCATTGTTGTACCGCTGTGCATTAAAGCTGTGTGATTTTTCAATCCTCCATTGGTCTTGTAGCTTTTTCCACAATAACACTTAAAGCCTTTACGTATTCTGAAAAAAAAAATCACATACTTGATAAGAAATAATATGAATATGGCTTATAAAAGAAATAAAATAATACATACTACAGATTAGGACATTAATTTATTTTAAATTTACTTTACAACAAACATTTCTTTATTAATTTAATCTTGTTTTATTAATAAAAATAATCAAGAATAAAAATCATTATGTATCGAAGTTCCTTAGGAATTTCTTATCATGCGTATTTTTAAGTGCACACTTTTAGAGGATTATTTATGAAAAATTGCTGCAGCAAGGTTCCTCAGGAACACCTTTCATTCAAATGCATATGTTTAGCTTCTCTTAATAAAATTTTTAGTTTGTACAATAACCTTTTATGCCAACCATTATAAAGATAACCATATTTACTAAGGACTTTCTTTAAATTTGATTGTATATTCACCTTAAAGCTAAGGTAACTCATAACTTATTGTAGCATCAAGGTCAGAGCTATGGCTTCTTAACAATTGAAACTAGTGATGGTCAAAGCTGTTTAACATCAGTAGCAGTTACAACAGTTTCTGCTACTTTCAAAAAAACAGGTATGATTGTTTCGAAATTCGATAAGCAAAAAAAAATAATATATCAACTGTGGGACAAAAAAAAAACTAGTTATAATTGCTGATAAAAGTGACATTAAAATTATAATTTCGAATCATAACATATTTTAAAGATATTATATAAACTTATTAGTGAAAATAATGAACAAATAGTAATTAGATAGGAAAAGGAGTTGCTAAAACTGTTCTCTAAACAGTAAATAGTATAGCTGTTTATAGGTTGTAACAATGAGATGGCCGATGTTCCATTGAGACAACTATTAACAAGAAAAAGTATAGTAGTGCTGCTGCGAGGAGCAGTTTCTGAATCAGTTGCAGATGACTGTATCTATTTCAGAGAAATGTGCCTGCTTTGAGGGGCTGTATCTGTTGCAGAGAACTGTTTCTGCCTCTCTTGCAAAAAGCTATTAAAATTAAACAGCTTTCTCTATCTGTTTCAGAAAACTATTTATGTATCTGTTGCAAGAAGCTATTTAAATGATACAGGTTTCTGTAGCTGTTTGAATTAAACAGATTCGGTATATCCCTCTTTTACCATTGGGATCTGTATAATGAAATGTATGTTTAATGAAAGAAACTGTTTAAATTAAACAGATTGCTACTAAACGCCCCACCTCTAATTGAAACCATAAAAAGGTTTTAAGTTTATAAAACAAAACTTTTTTCAAGAAAAGCTATTAAAAGTAACTTTAGTAATGTGTTCCTTGCATGTAAGCATTCTTACGATGTCATGTATTAAAAAAAAATAAAAAAAACCTGTACCACTACAACCCATAAAGGATCTGGGGTTCAGTACTATTTAGAGAAAGCACTGTTTCTAGGTCAACGGTTATGCAAGGAGGTGATTTGACAGAGATCACACTCAACCACCAGGTTTTCCCCCTTAATCAATTATTTAATTAAAGGTACCCACTTTATAGAGGCTGAGTGTGCCCCAGGAGGATCTCCCGACCCAGGGTCGTCCCACGCCCAATGAAACAGATAAATAAATTTTCTGCCATGAGCCGGGGTTCGAACCTGGGTCCTTTGCATTGGAAGATCAGTACCCTACCATTGAGCTACTCCCTCATGTATTTTAACAATAAGTAAATATATGATAATTTCTAAAAATTAAGAAAACAAAAGTGTTCCTAGGGACCTTCATCAGGAACATTATGTAAACAGGCCTTAAGACTTGTTATTATTCAGTATCTGCTAAAAACATTTAGTTAAACATGTCAGATCATTACCTTCAGATGAAATATTTATATTTTATTTAATTTAATACATACTTAACATACAAATTCAAAACAAGACACTATTTTAAAAAATATATCTGGTGCAGTGAGTGAACGCATAGCATGGACCTTCACTTACCACCCATGAATAGGAGAGTAGAAATAGGTATTTTCATATATGTAAGTAAGTAAAAGTCAAAATTATAGGTGGTATATATCTTCTTCCTCGGTGCAACGGTCCATGAGAGACCTGGGCCTCCTTCACAATTCTTTGCTACATAGATAGTATAACATATTCAAATTAAACGACAAAAGGCTCTGATAACCCACAGGATTTTACTTAGCAGATTGTGCTCACCATTGTGTATTTTACTAATCAAATTGGTTTACTAGGCAGCGCCAGTTCATACCTGGCCAATAAGAATTCACTCCTTACAATTGTACCATAGACGGCTCGAAAAATAATGAATAGCATCCAAGTTGTCAGCTGATATTCCTTCATCTTCTCAGAGATTTGCCTCAGGGCGAAGGTTTGATCAATAGCAGACCTATTTGGCCTGAAACCACCTTGATAATCACCCAGTTTCTATTCAACATACGGAGGGAGCCTGTTTTACAGGAATATGGAAAAAATGTTATATGTAGTGTTAAGTAAACTAATTCCTCGATAGTTGCTGCATATAGTTGAATCATAAAATAGTTCTTAATATGTATTAATAGCTCTTAGACAATTCACCAACACTCACACACAGATCATTTTATGGGACTATGTTATTTTGATCCAGGAGACCTCAAAACGTCTATGTGTTGAAAATTTAAATTAAAAATTTTTCACTAGTACAATTCTTCCCCTTATTTTATAATATGATATAAAGGTAAGCAAAAGTAAAACTTAGTTTAATAAAAATGATATGCCAAGTATTTTAAATTTTATTCCTTTTTAACAGGAGTTTTATTTAGTAGGGGAAATTAATCGATCTTTACAACAGGCCATAAGTGAACTGAAAATACCAACATTTGACTGTTAAGTTAAGTTGTTAAGACTTGAAAAATTTAACCATAAATAAATATCCATATTTTATAATAAAGAGATTCTTTTTATACTAAAATATCTTATGCTAAAATGATGAATATATTAATTTTGTCAGGCTAGAGATAAAAACAATTAACTGCAATTCGTGCAAAGATGAGGTTGTTTTCTTCCAACCTATCCTTGAACCAAATTCAATATTGCCAAAATTGTGAAATCACCAACAATTAATTATAATTTCACAATTTTGTCGATAACATTTAGCTACGGAACGATGCATCAAACAAAGCTCATTATCGAAAAAATTGGAATTGATTGCTTTTATTTTCAAGCCAATGATTTTTTTGTCATAATTATTAAATATCTTAATAAACATGGTCTGTGAACATAACTTACTTTCCTTCATTTTTATGGCCATTTTTCGAATGGTATTTAATACCATTCACATTTTTATATCGTTTTTTACATCCAGGAACAGGGCATGCAAAAGGCTTCTCAATCACAGTTCCGTCAGGCAGTGTAGTTGGACTAACCATCCTAAGCAATAACAAAGCCAAAGTACCTTTTAATAACAATAAGATAAAAATTTATTTTAAAAAAGAAATGGTGAAGAGTAGGTCAGAAAAACATTAATTGTTTTATTCAATGGTAATATTTTAATCCACATTATAGGTCCTTCATCAGGGCCGAAGAAGGTGAAAGAGAAAAAAAAGAAGGTAAACTATTGTATAAGTAAAACAACTAGGTAGAATTTCTGAAGTAAATATGAATGTACAAATTTGGAAATAATTAAGTTAAAGGTAAAAAAACAATAAAATCTAATATAATAATCAACAAAATAAATTAGTACATATAGTAATATCATTAATATATAAACCAAGTGATAACTGATAAGGTATTGAATAGCAGTAATAAGGTAAACATTAAAACATAAGAAAATTAGTAACAGTTAGAAAACAATGGTAATACCGAAAAGATAATCACTGACTAAGAAATTATTGAAAAACAAGTGGAAAAGAAGTTAAGAGGATTAAATAAGAAAAAAATTAAATAACTGCAGGAGCCAGATAGACTACGGAAAGGGATATCTTGGAGAGGAATGGGAGTGAATATATTTAATTATTTGATGTTATATCTGACTGATCTCCATACCATCTCTTTCTTCAGTTATCATATGGTCAAACATACAAGTTTTTTTAAAAACATCTAGTGCTTGACAAATCTTGATAATAATATAAGGTGACTATACGTTCCACTTTTGGATGGACAGTCTAGATTTTTAACAATTTGTCCTGCATCCCGCGGCGTTTTCAAGAAGTCTCGATTTTCGAAAAGAATGCATGTTAAGCTCGGCAAAGGCAGGAGAATATACAGTTTTCGGTGGCCATGTAGCTATTTAGCCAGGATATAAGTTTTATATTATTGTTGTTGATTTTATAATTTTAAACACTAATAATAACAAATAATTGTTTAGTAGAGATTATCGAGAACTCCTTAGCAAAGTTCACATTGTTGATCAGTTGTTAGAATTCGATCATCAGTGTATAGACTTAATGATAATAAGCAACCCAAAAGTAATCTTTTTAATGAAGTATCGTTATTGAAAAATATATAGATAAGAAAAGGTTAAATCATGGGGATTGGAAAATTAACTTCATTTACTACTTTTGATTACCGAAATAATGTCATCTTAATAAGTTTTTAGCATTTTGAAGAAGAGCTACTTGATTGTGTACAAACTGCTGGCACAAAACATTTGTCTTAAAAACTGTGTTATTACTGAATTCATAAATGAGACATCAATCCGCCTGGGAAGAGGGCGGGGGATTAATGTCTCCCAGAGTTAAAAGTCCCCCAGAACCGTGATGCGAGCTCGTAATTATTTTATATCTTATAACTTCGGTTTATCAATCATCTGGCTGCCGGACGTGTGCTTTGCATACACGTTAGCCTTCTTGGCCACACCTCCCCCTCTCCTTGGATCAATGGTGTCCCGCTTTACCAATGTTAAAATCTGGTCACCTTATTATAATAGTTATTACAGTTTCGATGTTTTTAAACTTACTTGCTTCCATATTTTAAAATAAATTCTGAACTAAATTCTTCTTGAGTACTCCATGAATCATTACTATCTTCTGATTCACTAAATACATCTTCATCAGCTTCGTTTCCTGCAATTAAGTTAGTTATCCATAAGTCACACTGAATAATATCATGATCAAATAAGTGAAGATTATACAATATATTACAATTACAAATGGTTAAATAGATTATAATTATTTTAACATATAAGAAATATTAGCACAAAGGATGATATTATATTGAGGAATCACCAATATGATTCCTGTCATAAATGGACATATGAAGTTTGTATGTGCATGATTCTTATTTTTAAATTACCATAATGCTTTTTCAACGGATCTTTGTTAATGAGGTAACAATAAATAAGTTCCTTTATTATTTATCCCAAGAAAAAGATTTAAAAAGCATATAATAGATATGCATCATCATCATCATCCCGCATGGATTGTGGTAGTAATCAATTAGCTATATTCGCTTTTATATTACACCAACAAAATATCTTTATGTTTTTAAAAGCAATATCCTTTCAATTAAATATATATCCTTTACTCATATGAAAGATTGTATCTTACATGATTTCTTCTCATGTAAGAAATTTAAATTCCGTGTGAGTTATTAGAAGAGTAGATTATTTTTCATGCACACCAACTAAATTAAAACTAGTATAATGCTCTATAAGACAACAATTCCTAAACTGGTCATTTTCAACTTTTAGGTTCTATTATATCATTGAGATTTTGCTGAACATTATTAATAATAATGAATTAGTCATGCATTATAAAATAAAACTTAATAATGGAATAATATATTTGTGAAGAATTACTATTGAATAGATTTTTACTTTCACTTCTTAACTATGATCGAACTAAACCCTTGATTTTTTTGGCAAAATGGATCTAGAGGGCTCTGATACTAATAGACCTCCTGTTTTTCTCTTTAAATTACAATAATTTAGTAATAGCGAGTTTTTATTGACCTCTAAGTAATGAACACATATTCATTCAGTGAAAGAGTCAGTGTAAACTGAGTGCCTTGCTTCTCTGGGTAAACCGACAGGAGTTGAAACAGCAACCAAAAAAATTCTGAACTCATCTGATTCATTTCAACCAAATTTAGAGTGTGCTAAGACAGCTCTTGTAACAAAACCAGAATGTTTCTCATTCATTAAATTGTGAGACCCAATAGCTCAGAATTTCATTCTCACTCGGCTACAAACTCGTGATTAATGACAAAAAACTTTTCTTCTGTTGTTATATTTATCGTGTTGATTTGATCCCAATCTTAATAAAATTAGCATTTTGTCTTGTAATGTAACACTGCCTAAGTGTAAAAGGATTTTATTCCTTAAATTCAAAGCAGAATGAGATCGATATATCAAGAAAATAATAAAATAAAATTTTTATATTCAAATGTACATCATACATCAATTTTCATGGTATATCAGGATATACCAAAGAGAAATAGCTAAAAAAAAAAACTATAAAACTAGCCCATAAGTCTTCAACAACTCTCTGTGAAACCTTTCCAACAGCAAAAGTGTTAGATCTTCCATAGACCCACTCCAAGAAATGGACAACCTTTATGATGTTAGGTAACTTCCAAAAACGATAATGACAGATGGCAAGAACAAATATGATAGTATGGGCAAGAAACATAGCCATTTTTTTTTTGGTACCAGATCATGCTAGAAATTCAATATTAACTATCTCACCCTATACTATTTATATTTTATACAGATAACTGATTTTTACTTTCACTTACCTGTATATGTAATATAGAGTAAGAGAAAGTATTGCAAGCGTGGAAATGTTCAAATCTGAATTTTCAAAGTAAATAAGTGTTTTGAAGTTCACTGATTCCAAATAACTAAGTCCTGCAAACCAGTCTTTGTATGTATGTGAATAGTCTAGTTCAAAAACAAAAACTTGTACGCAACTGAAGTTGCGTATTTAAGGTTTGTACATGCCTGGGATGTTATAGCAAATTTTTTGTCAAAATCGGCTAAGTGCTACTATATATCATCGATTTTAGATTTTTGCAATTGTCTTGAAAACATTTCTAAAGATTTGGATTAAATTCAATACATCAGTGTAAAATTTAATGTTTTTTAATATAATGTACGTCTTGTTCTCCATCAGGACTTAAATGCCTAATTTTCAAAATTTCTTCCTCTGAAGAACCTTTATTTTTTTTTAATTTGAAATAATTAATCATTTCACATTGGAACCTGATATAAAAAATAGTTAAATATGAAGTATAAAAGAATTTGATAATTATCTGGGGTATACGACAGTGTACAAAAATACTTTCCTCCCGATAATGACCTACTCCAGCGAGTCATAGACCCTCACCACAAAACATATCAGGCTGATTCAGGCCATGGAGATGTGACTCCTGCTCAGGGTCGAAGGAAAAACAAAGAGAGATCGCATAAGGAACTTCATAATATGGAAAAACCTAAACATAAGCTCAGCTGAAACAGTGATGGAGGAAAATCGTTTGAGATGATTTGGATATGTCTCTCGATGCCAGAGAATCGAATGACCAGGATAGCTTTGGAAAGTAAAGTTGAGGGAAGAAGTCCTCAGGGAAGGCCCAGGAAGATCTGGGAGTTCAGTGTCAAGGATGCCTTAGACAGAAGGGATATTGACTGGAGAAGAAGGCGGCAGTTGGCTCAGGATCGAGAGTTGTGGATTCGGCTCCACAAGGCTCCTCACACCGCTCAACGGTAGAAGAGGAAATGATTAAGAAGAAGGAGAAGATAATTATCTGAAGGAGAAGTAACCTAATATAATTCATTATTAATAGATAACCAACAAAACTAGAGCATGAAGTCGAGCTTTGCGGAAGGTTAGACTTGGTTATTTGGAATCAGAGAACTTTAAAACATGTATTTCCTTTGTAAATTCAGATATGAATAGGCTTCTATAAATAAGCATGTTCTATTTTATAATGATATTTATTGAACATGGGATTAAAGGGAGAGTACCATTGCTAAAATCAGATAAGCTAGTCTCAGATATCTATGTATCCTTTTCTAATGTATGGACTCCAAGACTTGAAACAATTGCCTATAATTTCAAAATTAAAAGTGACTACACCATCACCAGTTTATTTCAATTGTCTGTTGGGCTATCGGTGAAGGGAAGGAAAGAGCTGCCTGAGTTAATTTGGACCTTCTAGGAGCGTACTAAGTTTATTCCTTGTCAATTTACTTCACTTATCAGGTATGTTTAAGGAAGAGGAGTAGCTCAGGGGTATGGTTCTGAATTCCAATAATCGAGGTCCCAGGTTCGAATCCGGCTGATGGCAGATAAATTATTTATTCTTTTTTATCGGCTGTGAATCGACCTTGGGGTCATGAGACACTTAGCCCCTATAAGGTAACCTTAATTTAAATAATTAATTAAGGGGGAAAAACTGGAGTGGAGCGTGATCTCGGTCAAATCACCTCTTTTCAAATTCATTGACCAAAAACAGTATTTCCTTATAAAGTACTGAAACCAAGATCCTTCGTGGGCTGTAGTGGTGCAGGTTTACTTTTTATTTCTTTTCTTATCAGGTTATTTATATTAACAATTTTTTATTAACAATAGAGTTCCAAAAATATAATAAAATACTTAAGTATCATTTTGGGTCAAGTTCGTGAAGCAATGATTGATGATTTAATATATTGCCAACTTCCACCTTCTTCAGAATATATATACTCTTAAAAAAGATATTGTGTACCATCACTATTCTTTCCTCATCAACCCTATAATGGTCAACCTTTAAATTATCGACCCATCTAAAACTTAATCTGCTACTCAAGATTTAACTCATGTCTTCAACTGAAAATTAACATCCCAGACATTCATAATCACTCAGCCCATTTTATACATTTTATAATTTGATTAACACACTGCACAAAAAAAAAATAGTTGAGTCGAAATTTCCATAGCTCAAGTTCATAACTTTTGATGAAAACCACGAAATTATTATTTTTACCACCATAAAACAAATTTACATCGAATGATTCAATGATAAATGTATAATGCTATCAATGGTTATTCAATTTACAAAAAATAATTAGAATTAGCAGCAGGCATTCAAATGATAAATGATTTTGAAACTGAAAGAATTCAAAATAGCTTAACAATTCATTTCAAAATCATACGTGTCATATGTTAGTCAATTAAGATGTTAAACTGGATTTGGTTGCCTAAGTTACAAAAACAAACCACTATCTGATAAGAAGTTATCACTCAACTTTAAACATAAAAACCAATATTTTCAATTATCACAGAAACTTTCTATTAACAGGTGCTTATGGAATCAGCACAGTAGCCTTAAAGTTAAGTAAATTAATACTGCTGTTAAGTAAAAAGCAGTAAAGTACCATTCGGAGTTGGTGTATGAACTGGCAGTTGAGTAGCTGGTTTCTCCACAATTGATTTTAATTTTGGCTTTAGACTTAAAACTTCTTTTCGGGCCGCATCGGTGAAAAACCGAAGCACATAGCTCAAAGGTAGGCATGAGGGTTGTTCTTGTTCTTTCTCTTCGATAACCTGGGGATCGTAGTCTAAAATCAAAAAGCTCCATATAGATGGAAATTATACTGTCTGAATATTTATTTTTTTAAATATTTAATCCTCATATTACTTTTTCTTGTGGCTTCTTCTTCTTAAATAGATCATTCTAAGCCGGGAAGGAAGGGAAGAGGAAAGGTTACTGTAATAGGACATTGGACCTAAACAATTCTCAATATTTATATGAATTACTATTTACCGATGTGATTATCTTCTATGTGTTGTATTAAATCTCCTAAATTCTGAAAAGTAAGGCCACAATCATTAAATTTGCAGATGTTCAACATAAATACGGCCATTCCCCTTTGCACCAGCTGATCCGAGGAATTAAGCAGAGCAACCCAGAATTGTTATCTAATTTAAAAAAACATACAAACATGATGCATAAAAGAAACGTGAAAAGATACTAAAAAATATAAAAGTATGTCATTTTTTTTACAGTCATATTTTATAAGGCCATTATGGAAAATAAATTAAGGTTGCATTGTGTTAAATATAGAAATCAATAACCAAGGATAGTCTGTTTTCGTTATAATAGAACTACTGAGCGCTGAAGTCGGCGTATACTCTCACTCTATTGGTCCATCGCTGTGAACTTCCTTCCAACTCAGCCCCACTCGCCCCACCCGCTCTTAACCTTACTGTACTTCAGACCGTCTCCGTCTCCTCCTGCCTTCTCTTCTGCGGCCAGACTTTACTAGTTGAGTAAGTACTCCAGAGCTACAGCTTTATCTAACTATATTATCATTGGAATTGTACTTATTTCAGTAGTTTAATTTTTGTGTCAGAAACGATTTTAACACATTTTATTAAATATTGGCTGATAATTATTGATGTAAATGTGATAATAGAACTTACTGTTCTTAGTCGGCCATTTTTTTCATAACCCTTCGGTCCCTCATTTCTTTTTGAGGGATTTAACTGATAACTATTAACAATATATAGTTAAGAAAAACAATTCATTCCACTGCTGTGTAATGAATATTTCCAATTAATGAAGTCTAATTGAAATATACGTTGACTGCAAAAATTTTCTTATTTCGGTAATTTTTTTTTCTAGGTTCCGACTAACTACCAAATCTTTTTCATAATGTTCACACTCGCAAAATTAGTTGCCCCTGCTGCAAGGAGTGCTGTAAGTACTTATTTTGATATTATTAAATTTTCTTAGTTTTAAGTGTCACATTTATTGCCCTATTTTTTTTTCAAGTAAGTTTTGGAAGTCATTTCATTGTTTTTATAACGTAATTTTTTTTAAATGTAATTATAGTCATATTTGATAACAATTTTATAGTTCATAATGGCTCATGAATATTAAAATATTAGATAAGTGTTCAAGATATGTTACTCCTTATTCTTGGTTAAGGTTTTTGTTAAAATCTTATTAAAGGATCAGTTGTTCTATATTTAGAATATGAATTCCATTTCAATTTATATTTTTCATGAGTTTTTGCTACTCAGTTATATTTCAACAGGATTCAATTTTTTTTTTTTTTTAAATCTATAATTGTCTATTGGTATTTTTGAAGTTTAATGTATGTATACTTTCTTTAATTTGTTGCTATAAGTTCTATTAAAATAGTATAAATGATAACCTTATCATTATTTTGAACAACTTATTTATTTTCTAAATAAATTTATTAAGCTTAATGTCTTTAGTTGTTGTAATGTAATATTGATCTGCATAATTTTATATCTTAAAGATTTTACTTCTAGTGTTTCCCACATCATAAGGTATTAAAATCTGTTTAACATTAGGTATTCGCTCAGTCTTGTTATCACTTATCAATCCATATTTTATCAATTTAATCAGGGATCATTAGTTAAGGGTATTGCGGAACTATTGAAGTATTTATTGAACACATGTGGCTGTTATTTATTGAATTTATCAAACTTATTAAAAAAAACTTTTTAATTATTTGTTTATCAATGTAAATCCTGTAATTGCCATCAAAGTAGAACAATATTAATAAGATCAAGAGCTATTATCATTTACAGCTGATATAACTGTTTCACAACATCCTAGGCTCGAAATCGGTTTTTTACCCAATATAAGCTCCTGTTATGCTGAAATATCATGAATGGGGTACCATTGGATGTAGAATTTCACGGGGGGAGGGGGGGGGGTTAGGGAATGATATTCTCCACTTTTGTTTTTCTTTCTAAAATAAATAAAATAGATACAAACATTTTGCTAGGCTTCAATACTGGTATGGTGGTAGGTCTTCAAATCGATACGGGACAAATTGGATCTTGAAGATTTTGATGCATACAGCAAGGCCCAGATAGTTCCTCCGGAACAATCGGATCCTGCGTTATCAAGCCCAAAAACGTACTATTTTTGAGATAATGCAAGGCATAGGGTTCGCATCCACACAACCTTACATTAATTGTAGTACTGTCATTGAATACATGTCTCATTTCGTCGACTTGAGGTCTCTATGATCGAGAGAGGAAACGTTTATATTATTTATCGATGGTGTTTTTGATCGGCAAGCCATATCATCGTTAATTTTTTATTAAATCTCAAGATTGAGCCACCAATTTCTAAGGCTTCCTTCTCCTTCTGGCGGGCAAAATAGTCCAATCACCCTGAAAATTCAGTCAAACAAGTTATGAAGGAAAACAAACTTTATTTGCGAAAAACTAAAAAATTACACACTTTTCCCTTGGTTATGCCCATGATTATATAAAAGATTACTTAATTCCCTACAAAAGGAAAAATAAATCATTGAAGTCTGATAATTTATAGCATAGATACAGCTTATTGAAATTTGTAAACATGTTGGTTCCAAACAAAATTGAAGATTTAATTAATTTTTGTTTCCTTTGTGGATTATATTTATCGATAAAGTAACATTTGATTTCTTTATCTTTTGATACGTTGCATTATTTTATTTTCTTATTAATTTGGCATTTGATAACAATATGCTGTGCGAATTTTTCGCACGGGCCTACTAGTAATATATTAAATTAATTAGGCAAATGGATGAAGTAAAGAGATAGTCTCCTAACTTTTCCCGGCGGTGCTAGATGGAAATGGTGAAAGCAGTATAACTCTGTTATAATATAGTAGTATGGCTATTTACTACAACGCTGACCCATTTTCTCTTTAGCAAATAAACATTTTAGTCACAATGTTAATGTGCAGCATGACAAAATAAGTATTACGAACAGCCGAATCAGTTCAACACGTGTAAATTATATAGTTGAGCTCATTTTTGTATACCCTAGTTATGCTATGATACTCCATATGATATAAAAATTAATGATTAAAGTTTTAAAGAAACTTAATATTAACAGTTGGTATCTATCTCTGTTAAAAAAAAAAAAAAATAACTTTTTTGATTCTAATGAATTAAATTTTTAATTGTTTGATGTTGAGAGCATTGTCGTAATATTGTTTTGGTACTTCTTCACAAGTGTCATCTGGTTGACTAGTGAATCAAAATCACATAGACCATACTGTAAATGAACTTATAAAGTTATACTTAATAATTATGTTTAAGGGGGAGTTTCCAGTGTTCACTTATGGGGGGAAACAAACCCTCCCCTCCCATACATCACCTCCCCATAAGACCTTCTTAGTTAAAATCAGGAGCCTTTATTAAGTTTTGCTCGTTTGTATAAATTAACGCTTTTCCGTTCATCAAATACCTTCCATAATTTATTTATAAGGAACTTATGGAGATTAATTTCCTCCATATAATAACCAGAGTCCAGGACACTGTTGTGCATTTAGGATTATGTACAGTGTGATCTTGACTTACCTCTCCTTGCAAAACTGTAAATTAAAAATGTTATTTTGTTTAAGGTCTGTTTATATTATAATTTCTGAATATTAAGTAAAACAAGTTTATTTATTAAAATTTTCTTTTTTAACTTTTATTTTAGTTGGTTTCGGGATCAAGGGCTTATGTCAGGCCATTGAGTACAGTAGTTGCACAGCAGAGCCAGACATTTAACACACATAATATTACTTCAACGCCAGCCATCAGCATAGTAAGTTTTACTAATTGCATAAATTCTTTATTTTCAAACTATTATATATTACATAATACATATTTCTTAGTTGCCTGCTGTCCGCCAATTCCAAACATCAGTAGTCTCCCGGGACATTGATTCAGCAGCTAAGTTTATTGGTGCTGGAGCTGCCACCGTTGGTGTTGCAGGCTCAGGTACTTTTTTTATTCTTCAAAGTTGTTTTAAATGACTAATTTTTATCATAAGCTTTAAATTATCTTTTATTTATAGACAGTTCATTAATGAAAATATACTAGTCATGATAACATGATGTACTTATCTAACTTGAATAAATTAATTTTTAGGCAGACTTAATAGGAATCAACAGATTCAATTATTACACTACAAACATTCTCTTGTGTAAACTTTCCTTTAAAGGACTTAAAATTATTTTACTATTAATTAAAATACAGTCAATGATATTTATGAGTGGTTGCTTACAAACTATTATTACATATTAGGTCATGTCAAATCTATTAGGATATGTCCATTATTTTTTTCTTAGTCATTGTTTCTAACAGTTTCCTTAAAATTATTAATTATGATAACATTTCTGTACCAACCTACGATTTATCGTTATTTAAATATTTTTTATTCTTAAGAGACTGTTGAATTTTTTTTGAGATCTTACAAAACCTATAATTTTTTTATAAGACCTCATGTAAAGTATTTAAATGTTAAATGTACCATTTATATAAAATTATTTTTAATTAAGATCAGTCATACTGTATTAACATTTCTGTGATGAGGAACACTTACAAATTCCATGGTTTTAAGATTTCAGTTAATTCGCTAAAGCCTCAAAGAATTTTTAAATTATATCCTGAATTTACAAGATAAATTAGAATGCGTAATTCTCTCATTATTTACTTTCAACTTCATTGATATAAGTATATGTTAAAGTAGAATAAAATAGTTATAATCTTTCCAATAAGTGATATTTTAGTTTTAATATGTATTTATATTTATTTCTTAATTAAACTCTTAAAATATAATAAAGGAAGACTTACTGATAATGGCAAATTCAATTGTGTGCTGTGTTCCGTTATATAAAGAGGAACACTGTCTATATATTTAAAAAAAAAAAAAAAAAAAAAAAAAAAAATATGGTTATGAAATCGAGAAAGTAAAAAGGAAATAGCAAAAGATAGGCGTACTGAGCGGACACTGTGCAAGTGTCTGAATATTTTACGTGTGTCCACAGGAGTTGGTATTGGAATTGTCTTTGGTTCTCTTATCATCGGTTATGCTCGGAATCCAACCTTGAAGCAACAGTTATTCTCGTATGCAATTCTTGGTTTTGCACTTTCTGAAGCTATGGGACTATTTTGTATCATGATAGCTTTCTTGATTATGTTTGCATTTTAGAAATGAGCAAACATTTTTTAGCATGATTTGTATAACTTTTTAAGGGCATGATTCTATTATCGTGCTGAACCGTGGAAGTGTACAGATACATATCAGTTTTATGATTGAATCAGCAAGTGTCATTACCGAGTTAAAATATTTTTTTTTTTCATTTTTAATTAAAGATTATTTATTTATAACACTAAGAAAAAAATTGGTTTTTCTCAAAATTTCCATTATATTCTTTGTATTACTTGTAAATATTTGCTTTTATCAATATAAAATATTAAACATTTGTTCGTGGTTTATTTTATTTTATTTTTTTTCTAACTTAAAGTCATCAATTACTTCTTCAGACAGGTAAGATTGTTTATTTGTTTTTACTTCTATCTGTTTACACTAAATATTTTTTCCTTTGCACTTTTTATTTTGTTTTGTTTATTAAATTTCTATCACTGATATTATTTATATATTATAATTATTAAGTACATTAAGTAATTTTGGTTTGTATTGATGGTTATAGGTGCTGGTATTGGAACAGTGTTCGGTTCCTTGATTATTGGCTATGCCAGGAATCCATCACTTAAGCAGCAGTTATTCTCTTATGCCATTCTTGGGTTTGCCTTATCTGAGGCTATGGGTTTGTTCTGTCTTATGATGGCATTTTTACTGCTCTTCGCCTTCTAAATATACTAGTGAATTTTTTCACTGCCACTCAGAGAGAACTGGCCACAACTATCAATGGAACGGACTGCATCCTGTTTTTTTTTATATAATATGAAAACTTGATGTAAATTCATTCAGAAGGACATTTTTAAACATTCTGTTCCATGTATAGATGACGCCAATGTAGAAACAAACATAAATTCAGGTTTCTTTTTAATTATTAAATTATACATTTCTAAGTATTCCCTTGCTTTTGTAATATTTTTTTGTTGATTTCTTTTTTAAAAAAAAAAAAAATTCGAGCATCCGTGGGATGATTTTTGAATGTTTGTAGTAAGATGTGAAATTACTTAACAGGTGATGCGAGGGAAAATTCCATTGTACAGAGTTAGATAAATAAATAAAATTAATTCAGTTGTTATATTTATTGCCTTGCCTTTCAAATTTCCTTTTAAAATTTTAATCATTTTTGTTATTGTAGAACAATTGTGCAATAATTTAATAATTAAAAATAATGTATTTATTTTTAGTTAAGGTTGTTGGAAATTTGTAATTAAATAAAAATATTGGAAAAAGTAAACATTTTAGGTGATTATTTAAAAATCATGTTTGCTAGTTTCAGGGTTTCTTATACTGTGTGATATAGCACCCATATTAATAACATATTTTTTTTATTTTTATAAACAATTCAAATGGATCAGGTTTATGAGATAAAATCTGGGAAGAATTTCATTTAGTTTGTAATATGTCAGAAATGAATGATTTTACTAGATAACCCTTTTGAGGATATGTGCAATAAATTTTATTCCTGGTAAGAAAGCTCTGTGACCAAAAAAGTTTGAGAATTGCTATACTGTCTATAATTCGGATTTTTTATTTGGTATATTTATTTTGATATATCCCCACCTATATTATTACAGTAAGGCTCAAAATCTGTTTTGTAACAAATATAAGCTCCTCTCAAATACCATTAATGGGATACCGATGGATTCAGAATTTCACGGGGAGTTAGTGAATCTTATTCTCCACTTTTGTTTTTCTTTCTAAAATAAATAAATTCGATACAAACATTTTGCTAGGTTTCATAATAGAAATGGTGGTAGGTCTGTAGATCGATATGAGACAAATTAGACCTTGAAGATTTTGATGCATACAGCAAGACCCGGATAGTTCCTCCGGAATTATCAGATCCTACATTTTTAAGTCCAAAAACGTACTATTTTCGGAATAATGAAAGGCATTTGGTTCGTATCCACACAACCTTTTTAATTGTAGTACTGTCATTGAATACATGTCTCATTTCATCGAGAGAGGAGTTAATATTATTTATCGATGGTGTTTTTGATCGGCAAGCCATATTATCGTTAATTCTTCACCAAATCTCAAGATTGAGCCACCAATTTCGAAGGGTTCCTTCTCTTTCAGGCGGGCAAAATCACCCTGAAACTTTATTTGTGAATGACTAAAAAATTACATACTTTTCCCTTGGTTATGCCCATGATTAAATAAAAGATTACTAAATTCCCTACAAAAGGAAAAATAAATCATTGAAGTCTGACAAATTATAGCAAAGATACAGCTTATTGAAATTTGTAAACTTGTTGGTTCCCAACATTAATGAAGTTTTAAATTAATTTTTGTTTCCTTTGTCAATTGCATTTATCGATATAGAATCAATTGATTTCCTTATGTTTTGATTCGTTGCATTATTTTCTTTTCTTATAAATTTGGCGTTTGATCACTTAACAATGTGCTATGCTAATTTTTCAAACAGGCCTTCTAGTTCTTTCCTGTTACCTGATGGACGCAGACTAAAAAGAAAATGGCCAGGGGACCTATTCCTACAACAATAACAAAATTAAGTTAATCAAGCAAACTATCAGTTAATGCCTAATCCATCAAATTTGCTTGGTACGCTGCAGCGCAGGTGCAAATGACTTAAAATGTTAAATAAATATTATTTCTGAAAGACATTTTTTTTTTTTGTAGTAGATAATTGATGGATTTCCTTGGATTGGGATAAGTTAGTTTAGGGTTGCAGCAGTGAGAGTATTTAATTTTGTGCTGTTTCCCTGTAAAATCTTAATATTAATGTCCTTGATGCGATATAATAGATCTCAATAAAACTAAAATTCTAATTGATGTATTTAGCTCTGGTAAGATCACCAATGACCTTTAAAGGGTCAATTTCTTATCATTTTTTTTATTTAAACTAGGCAAGTAGAAAATAAGTATTAATTATTCTAACTCTTCTGCTCACTTCAAAGTTGGTGTCTTAGTTCTCATTTAGACTAAAAATGGTTCATCTTCATGATGTGTAAGATGCTGAAGTTATCACTATACATATAACTCGGAATCATTTTTAAAGTTATTCCTTGCAACAGTCAGCCTACATCGAGGGTTTTCATGCTTGAAGCAGTTTTATTTGGTGGCTAATTATATGCATTTATTTTTATATTTGTAAAAAATAAAAGTATTTCTAATTTAATAATTGTTGCATTATTTTGCAAAACATAAGTAATGTTTGTAGATTGTTAGATAAGGTCACATTATCTAAATTTTTTTTTTTTTGCGATGGGTAATTAGGTTTTTGTTACCAATTCCAATTGTTTTAAGATCTATTATAACTATTTCTACTAAAAACCTTGGATTTAAAAAAAAGTGTAATAATCCTTCATATGGTAGATGATGAACTTTTTTTAACTTTTCAATGTAAGCCAATCTGCCATCATTTTCGTGACCCCCAATAAGTATTTTTGTAATTGTATGCTCATTTGTTTTATATTGCATTATCAGTGGAGGGAGAATGGTAACTGGGAGCTTGTTTATTGTTTTTATTTATTATTTTTAGATTTTAGAAATATTAAAAAATGTTGAGTCTTAAATTAGAAACAATAGTTTTTAGAAAACCAATTCACTTAATTATTTTCTAATTAAGAAATAACTACTTTGTAATAAACACATATATAATTGTCTAAAGACAAGTTTATGTACTTAATATATACTTATACTTTACTTTGTTTATTATAAGGTAGTGATTTAAATCCTATTTGTTGGTACCAGTGTAAATACTTTTTTTTTTTAAACAATACACTTTGATTATGAACTAGAGACAAAAGGGATTTATATAAATACAAATTTTAATGGTGTCTGATTTTATTTTAACACATTTCTCAGTGTAAAGCCTGCAGTTCCCAAACAACTCAAGTGTATCAGAATTGTACATAGCATCATTTTTATTGTTCATTAAATTAAAAGTTGAATAACAAGTTTATTTAGAATTCTGAAGTGTGTACAAGAGGGCCACTGTCTGGGGGCGCCCGCCGCTTATTAGGAATTAATAGAAATACAAATGGTATGAGAACAATTAATGTTAGTCTATTAATAAAGCAACTGAATTGTAGACATGTTGAATGAAATATAAATTCATATACTACTTGATATAAAACAACTTAATGAAATAAATTAAAGTTTTTTGTGGGAGATGCCATTGTTAACCGATGGTTTCAAAAGTCTAAGGCCAGCACTGTGTGAGGCATTAATTGAAGTTAATATACCCCTGTGACCCCTAGCGGATCCAGAATTTAATTTTGGGTGGGGGGCCTTAGCCCAAAAGATTTTTTTCATATACATATAACAATAATTAATTAGAAAAATGAAAGAAAGAAATTAACTACCTATGATGTTTAAGTGGTTCTTGAAGTCCTATTAAATGTAATTACAGGAACAAGAATAATTTAAGAGATAGTTTTTAATATTTTTTTCTGTAAAGCATGGTAATATTTTGCGGGGGGGGGGGAGGGAGGGGGGGCTTTAGCCCGAAAGCCGGTGTGTGGATAACATACTCAACATGTACCATTTCTTTTCACCATAAGACACTATTGAATTTTTCTTTTATTTTTTAAAGTAATTGACAGCTTACTCAATTGTAATAATTCGGTCTGTTTACTAAGTATGAAATAAGAATTTATTTTTTAACATTTTAAAGAATTTTTATATTATAGAGCTAGGAGAGGAGTTTAAAAGCAATTAAACCAGCTAAAACAATCTCCAACTTAAAATGAACACTATCATTTTAAATTTTAATATTTTTATTAATGAATCAGATTTTTTTTAATTCTATAAATCTCATATTCCACAATAAAACTTATATTATTTATAGGTTTTTTATGATATCCTTTAAGTGAGTTAGGCATGAACACCTACTTTGTCTTCCTTGCTATTATTACAGTAATAGCTAATAATCAGGCTTAATGAGATAGAGGAGGCACATGATCTAGAAAATTTTCTTTTTGAACTCTTAAATTTATATTAAATTAAAATATAGATAATTTATGAAAAGTTTTGAAAAAATTATGATGTATTTTTTTTAATAAATTATAAATGATGAGGTTTCAAGGAATTTCACTGACCATCCCCATCCACCACCCACAGGACACTCCTACCAAGTAATGAGATCCATAGCTGCTTGCAGATAAGGAAAGAAATTGAGATGTAGAGAAGGCTTGTTAAGCAGCAAAAGATCTACAAGGATCTTAAAGGAATTCCAAAAGATTGTGGATGAGATAGATATGTTATTGTACCTACTAAGAGTAGTGAGAGGCGGCTTTCAGTTTGAAGTAAGTTCAGAAATTTTTTCATATCACAGTATTTTCCCTTACTATATATTTCATATGCAGGTAGGTGGGAATAAAAACTAGCAGTTTTTCTCAAAATGTAGAAACTTCTGGTAGCGAGGAATCGGAAAACTTGAATTTTTGAAACATTCTATCAACAAGATTTCGAAATGATCCTAATTTTTCGAAAACCACTTCAGGCGATTCTTAATTTGAAATGTATTTCCTAAAATACTGTTTGTAAAATTATTGTCTCTTGTAGGAGACGGAAAAGTTTAATAATAATAAGCTTCTCCTACTTCAAAAAAAATCCTATATTTAGCTACTACCACAGGTGCCCAGAAGGGGGTTTCATGACGCAATTTACGCCATCAAAATTTTTGAGGGGGGCAAATTTCGACGGGG